ATTCAACAAAAAAACAACTCTAAGTGCCTGAACCTGAACCTCACATTTGGCTTCTTGGATCATATTTTGAGGTTGAGTTGTCCAAATACACAACTCCCACTTAATTCTGCTTGTGCAGAGAAGAGGCAGAGAGGGAGAGGGGACCAGAAAAGTTCCTGGGATCAGAAACATAGTGTGCTTTGGTCTGCAGTATGCGAAGCAGGGATTTCAAAGTCATAGGTGCTCCTGTCTTGTTCCGTGGGAAACACAATCTAGGTCAGTTTTGGGCCGTGCACCATGAAACGACCGAGATGGAACAATGAAGACTCATAGTAAAGAAAAAAAATTATTTGGGATTGCAAAAGCCAAGGACTTTCTTTAAAAATATTAGTAGACCATGTTAGGTTTGAGTACATCTGATGTGGTGGTAGAGAATAAATGGATTTGCAACCCATGAACACTATTAGAAGAGTGGTGTGACATGGCAGTAAGATGAAATGTCTGTGAACAGTAATGTAAAAGAGTGAGGTGCAGGCAAATGTTCAAATGGACATTAGTCAGATTTACAGGTGAATCCATATGAGAGAATGCCTGAACTCTACTGTAGATCAGTGAAATTTATTTTTATGCTGCTCTAATTAACTTTCCTAACTCCCAAGCTGACACACTTTCATGTAACACCTGTAAGTATCCACACAGGGATGAGAAAACACATCAGTGACAAGAGTATCATGGGATTTATAGTGCCTGGCAGCAGTAGCCTGGGCTTTTTGCACATCTTCTTTTCTCCCTCAATCAGTAGAATTCCAAATTTAGTGTCTTGGCTCAATACCTGGATATAAAATTAATTATATCAGGATTGGTTAAGTATCGCATCTCTGTGAAATGTAAGGGGAGTGTAGATCTTCACTTACTGAAACAGTTAAAAAGTTAGCAGTGTGGTTGGCAATTAACCTTATGGAAAACACAAGCAGCTTCTAGCAACAGCTCTTAAACAATGAGTCAGGGTGGAGCCCTCTGGAATGAGAAGATTCATTGCCAGTGAAATTAAGATAAATCTCAACATTCTGTATTTCAGTGTTCATACACATTTGGAAATAAAGTGTACACAGATGGTTCTCATGAACTACATCTGGATATAGGATGCCAAAGTTGAGTGCATTATATAATCACAATTAATACAGAACCAGATCAGTAGGAAATCACAGTGAAATTTGTCTTTTGGATATGGGTAAGAATTTCCTTGGTAGCAGTGGTGTAACAATTTACACAGCCATTCCCATTCCATGCTAGCATAAAATCTTTGTGTATGTATGAAAACAGACCTTTTCTCTTGTCAAGACAAAAGTGTAGAACACAGGTAGTTAGCAATAAATTAAGTGGGTTAAAAATTCCTTTTTTCTCCCAATACATTCAAATCACAATTTTTTATAAGGAAAAAGAAATTAGTAAGTCCTAAGAGACCATGTATCCTTTCAGAACAATTTGAATGAATGGACTCAATAGGGAGACTTTTAATTTCCCAAACATGCTCAATTTGAGTAAAGAAAAAGAGAGATGAGCTTACTTTGAGTTTATTTGCTGAGAAAGAGGCCTGGGAAAAGCAGGATGAAGATGAGTGATTATTTCCCAGATGAGATGGGGAAACACAGAGTTTGTGGTGTTTATGTGCACGTGATCAAATACTTTTGTGTAAAAGCATCCAAGGTGAGTAATCATTGTGGTGGTGACCATGTTGCTTCAGATCTGCTGGTTTACCTGCTGAAAATTCCTCTCAGAGAGCATGAAAAAGAGAGATCACTCTTGTTAAAATGCATGGAACTATATTTGCCCAATCATAAAAGGAATGGGTTTTTTTCCTTTCAGAATTAAGCATGGTATGTTAAACAGACTTCTAGGGGAAAGGGAAGTACCCCAGCATGTCAGGCAAGAGGCAAGTAAGGGGAAATGTAAATGTATGTATACCATTTTCTACCTATAGAGAGAACAAGAGTTGAGCAGGCATCAAAGTTTGAAACCTTAGTTAAACTCCAGATGGACAATTCAAGAAAGGTGGATTCCAAATCATCTGCTATGGGTCCTATTTGAAAAGACAGAGAAGCCTGTCACAATGGAAGGATCTTCAGCTTTTTTTCTCATCTGGACTAGTTCCTTTCAGCACAGTGATGCACAAATATGGCTTTTGTGCTAAACTAATACATTATTTGGACTTTTTAAGAAGAGTCACTTAAAAGCCAAGTGAATCCCAACTGTTACTGAGCTCTATCACTGCATCAGTGTTAAACTTTGTGATCTTGTGCCTGAAACTGCTCAGGAGAAGAAATATTTCTTTCTGGGCTATAAATTAAGTCAGAATAAAATTATACACACTACCTCTTCATAGCTGGGATTAGATTTCCACCTCATAAATACTAACAACTTTTCTAGCTATGCAATTTTGTTCATCCTAGAAGCAACCTGTGCAGTACTTCCTAGAAAAATGCTCTTCTAGGCTGGCTACTTGGTTGGAAGTGTTTTCTGAAATGAAAGTCAGAATACCACCTGATGGCTTGATCCTTGGGCCAGGATTTGTTTCCCTTTTCTTTTAGACCCCAGTGTTTAACAGATGGCAAGATTCAGAGCTTTCTAATTTGGTTAACATTTCAGCATGGAGTATCTTTACAAAAGATGTCTGAAATCTCAAGGTAAGATGCTGATGTACTTTTGAAAAAAAAAATTTACATTCCTTATCTTGTTAAGGAAGAAAAACAGAGCAGTTTTTCCCACATTAAATAAGGAGAGACTCAACAGCTCTCCCTGAAATAGGAAGCCTCAGAACCTAGCAGGACACTGCATTCTATGTATTTTTAAAAGCATAAAGCACCATGAGATTTCTTAACTGAATGACCTTGAAAACAACAAGTCTTTTGGTGGTTTAAAATTGAAAACTGTTTGTCACCTTTAAATGGAAAGCCAACACTTAAATGATTAAGACTCAACATTATTAATTTACTGCAGACTTTCCAGGTAAAAAAGAAAGATCACGCAGTGCAATTTTCTTTTAAAAAACCTTTTAAACCTAGATGGGGACATTAGGCACCTGATAAACTGATCTGCATAATGAAGGAAGCTAATGGATTATTTGGTTTTATCCCTATCTTATCACTTACTAGTGTAAATGAAGCCTTTAAATGGGTATATGGGTTTTGCTTTAGCATTTGAATAAAATGGAAATTAATACACCTGTATGTGCAGTGGAAGCACACAACAACAAAGCTTTAATAGAATATCAAATACTGTTTCTGAATTCCTGTAGAGTATCACCAGAGGAAATCAGAGTATTTGAAAAACAAAACTAAGGAACTTCAGTCTGTCTCTAACCTACCTCACTTCATATCAAGATAACCTTCAGGAAAGATTTTATAGAGCAGTGTCACATATATTGCAGAAAATATTGAGTAGCCTCACTGTAGAATATAAAAAAAAATTAATTAAAATTATGCTTACTAGAAGAGCATAATTTAAAAGATAATGGAAAATACATGGTATTTGATTAAGAATATTGTTCATCACTTATATTATTTTCTATCCTTTTTTCCTTTAAATAAGAAAATGTATTTTTATGTGCAAAATTAAGTTGTGGGGTAATGTCCACACGGGTATTGTGTTCTTCCTGAAATCCACATACATCACATTATTTTTTTCAAAAACAGTTTCAATGTAATATTCCATCTAATCACAATTTATGCTTTTTTTTTTTTCTTCTTTGCATGAATAAAGGGAAAAACATCTTCCATATTTACAAAGCCCCTTCAAGCTACCTTCTCCGGAAGTTCATTCAGTAGAAACACAAAATTTCTTGATGTACAAAAGGGAGATGGGTACAACATTCTTGTACTGTTTAGATAAAAATTTCATATAAATACAAACCCATTCCTCTAAATTCTTTATTACATGAAGTGCAAAATCAATATAGAAGCAAAGGCCTGAGTATTCTACATATCCTCAGAGCAGCAGAGGGAGGGACCAAACCTGAGACCCTGAACTGCTTTGTGGAGGCTGTCTGGGATACCTTCACCCTGATGGAGCCAATGTACTTCGGAGCCTGTAATGGTTTTGAAACTGCAGGAAGTTCTGTTAAATTGTATCACCAAACGAAATAAAATCATGGTCTTTCTGTGCACTCAGCCTCTTCTGTAAGAATCTATGAACACTGCTACCAACTCAGATGTCAGAGCACAGTTTTTTATTTTAGCTTCTTTAAATTGACAACACTGCAAAAGAAAAGAGAAATAGCTCTGGGTACTTCACACAGCAGAACTGTAAAGAAATGTGCTGCTCATGTGTAGCTTATGAGTTTACTTTGGAAAGAACCTTAGCACTGTGCAGGAGGAACAAAGCTCTCCTGGACTGGTACCAATTTCTGTTAGTTTTGGAACAAGCCCTCACCCCCCAGCTCACGTTCCAGTCTTCTTTAAATTTCTTTCTATTAGCTTGCTTTTTCAGCTGGATACATACACTCTGAAAATCGCAGAATTACAGAAGTGGTAGGGTTGGAAGGGACCTCTGGAGATCATCCAGTCCAACCCTCCTACCAAGGCAGGGTCACCTACAGCAGGTGACACAGGAACGTGTCCAGGTGGGTTTTGAATGTCTCCAGAGAGGGAGTCTCTCCATGAGCCCCCTGGGCAGCCTGTTCAGTGCTCTGCCAATCTCAATGTAAAGTTCTTCTTCACGCTGAGGTGAAACTTCTTGTGTTTTAGTTTATGGCCACCACTCTGTCCTGTCGCTGGGCAATGCCAGGAGGAGCCTGGCACCATCCTCTTGGCACCCACCTTTGAGATATTTATGTGTATTGATGAGATCCCCTCTCACTCTTCTCTCCCCTAGACTAAACAGGCCCAGCTCCTGTAGTCTCTCCTTGCAAGAGAGATGCTCCAGTCCCCTTAAATCATTTTTGTGGTGCTCTGCTGGATCTCTCTAGTATAAGAAGTAAGTGTGACTACAAACATATTCAATAACCAAATCAAACACTTGTTCTGTTTTCTTTATATACTTACATTTTATTACAGACTAATATGAAACCATCTCATATTCATACTAGAATTACTTTAATTATTTGTGAGCAAACTTAAACCAGTCTTGAATGTTTATATTTATTGCAAGCAGATTTGTATCTCCTGCTTATATATTCTACATAAGGATTCAAAATATGGCTGAATATAAACAAGTTATATTTGGTTGTCTACAGAAACAAAAGTTAAAAATAGTACTGAAAAGAAACTTTACAGTAATGTATTCACACATTGACTCTTCAAATCAAATAAATGAAGTAGTATAGGATAATCTGAATATTAGATTTGAAGGCTGATTTATTTTCAAATAAATGCACCTAAAATTGTTCAATTAAAAATAAGTGTCAGTATTTGGTGCTGATGACTACAGACATCTTTAATGTTTAAAGCACAGATAACTACTCCAGCCCCACAGAGCAACTTTCGCAGATTCTACTTTACATTAGATCATGAAAGAACCTCTAAAATGCAAAATGTACATAGCACAGAATTTATGCCCAAGACAATGCAGACTGAAATCTTGTGAATTTTCATAAGATAAAAAATTAAAGCTATATAAACTGATTTTTTTATTATTCTGTAAAGTAGAATCATGTATGTTTTCACTTTTGTAATACTTTCACAAATTTCCATTAAAGCTTTTTTAACAGAGACAGTAGCATGAGCATAAGGATCCCACTGGCTTCCAAAAGAAAAGTAGTGCAGCTCCTCAATTAAGCTATTTTTTTCCTCTTATTTTTGCAAGCCAGTTCGGTCAAGACAAACAGGCTAATGCAAGCAAGAAAGTAAACTGTAAGCTTTTACATTAAGTGGCTGAACAAACAATTATTGTACATGGTAAAACAAAAAAAATCTTTTGCCACAAGCCACTGCAGGAATATATGAGCTTCTGTGGCCAAAAAGCTTGAAATATTTTCTAAGTCTTCACATACATTTGGTTAGCGCTTACCAGTTTCAAGACATTTATAGAAGCAGATATGGAGACATTAATGCTGTTAAAGCTGCAACAATTTAAACAAGGCAAGTTAGAAGGTTACACAGATTTTTAGACTTTTCCTTTTTTTTTCTTCATACTTAAAAATCTGTCTCCTCTCAGTGTCCCACCCATTACAAATCACTCTAATGCATTTTGATCTAATTTATATTTTTTCATCTTTTTATCTTTTGCAGTAAAACTCCCAAGTTAACACCTGGTGCAGTGGACTAGGTTTACCTGGCAATAGTAACAGGGACTGAAGCAAAAACACATCAAGTGAAGCCAAGTTGATGTTTTATGTTCATTTCATTAAACAGTCTATTTTAACAAACAAACAGCACCAACTTTTAAAGGTAAAAGTATTGCTAAATCAAAGCAGAAACTTCCACTTAAATTGAAGCATTCTTTCTCCTCCAAATAATGACATGGTGAACTAAAATTTCCTCAAACAGGTATACAGGTGTTTCAGCCTGAACAATGTTGTCAACAATATCTAAGTGTAGGGCTACATGAAGTTTGCAATGAACTGCTTTGTTAGTAGGCAGAACAGGAATGCAGCATTTTCAAAAACATCAAGCAAAAATTTCCTTATTTAAGGCTAAAAGATGGAACTCACAAAGTAAAAAAGCAGGAGGTTTTATTGAGTAAAAAAGCTAGCAGTAATAATATAGGACTGCAAGTACAGCGCTCTAATCGCTTATACCACAAATCCCAACAAAACATCAATAACTTGGGTGAGACTCAGAGCAACAGACCTGTATTTCTAATTTGACATTCATTAGAATTTTAACATTCAGCCACAACTCCACTCTAAGCTAAATTTAAGTGGCCAAAACTTATAGTTATAAAAAAAGCCTTCAAAACATATACTTAAAAAAAAATAGAAATGGTGTGTTAACAAATGTATGCGTAAAACAGATTTATAAATAGCTACAGTATGAAAAATATTTCAGTGCAAAGGCAATTTTAAGATTTCTAAAAAATACATTACAAATAATTTGTTAACTACACACAAGAAATTTGTCACTGCTACTGGTATAAAATGTATACCCATATTAATTTCTTAAAAATATATACACCAGTGTTTTATGTAGGGGACGGTTCTAACTGACCAACATTCAAGTCTGTAATGGCAAGTATATGTACACACACCCACACGTGTATGTATTTCAAAATGCTACTGCTATAAGAACATTCTTTGAAACTTAAAAGTGCTATATGTTAAATGATAAAAAACCTTTATCTGTGGTGCTCACTGTGAGGCTTTAAAATTCTGTTATCTTTGGTATACTGAAGATTTCATAACTCACTTTACAATCTCTGCTTGACCCAGGGCATTTTAATAATAAATCACTGTTTAATACAAAAACTGCTCAAAATACTGTGAGGAACATTTCCTAGTAAGTTGATTTCTCTTTCATTATAAAGTAAAGTAGTAAGTAAACTTATGTTGCCTCCATTTTTTCTTGTTAAATCACAAAAAGGGAAATAACTTTTCTCTGCCACCCTTGTCCATGTGAAAGACAACTAACAATGTCATGGCCAGGTCTTCCAATAAAAGCTGCAGGTCTGATTCCAAATATTTTGTTTTCACACTGAAATAAATTTTTAGGTAAATTCCTCACAGAGGTGTTGAATGAGGATGGCTATTGACCAGTTGTAACCACTAAGCTGAAATTGACTGAAATTGGGTTACTCCTTCACATATTTTTGCACCCCAAAATAAAACACTGGACTAAAGAAACAACACAAGGATGCAGCTAATAGTTGAATTACTGCAAGGTAATGTTTATGTAGCAGAGAAAACAGAAGTGCAAGTTGGCTGTCATTCTTAAGGGAATTCAAACAGAATCCTTGCAAACTAGTTTCTATATCCCAACTGTGGTTCAACTGTTAGTCAACAGTTGTGTCGCCTCGTGGGGTGCTTGCAAAAGCTAACAGTTGTGTGCTTTGTAATACATCTACCAAGCCCATTAGCCAGTATCTAACCATACATGCACACACACAAAAAAAAAATCAAAATTAAGAGGATGAATCAAGACAGTAAAAGATGCTCATCCAGAAAAACAGCTTTTCTTCTTTTACAGAAAAAACACCCAAAAAACTGTGTCAAAAAATCTAAGTATATATAATACTTTCTGCTGTATATATTTTACAATCATAGGGATATGAAGTGAGAACACCAGGTAATGTGCATCTTTGACAAATTCAAAGATGTTTTAGGCAAAATGCTTACATTCATTTTAAAAGTAGATACCAACATTGGTGATATTGACCTATTTAACAGCCAACTTGACTTCATATTGTGTGTGCATACTCTACACAAGGATTGTTTTGCCTATCTTGCTACAGGGGAAAACTAACCAAAACCATACATAGCCCTGATTTGGCCACTTACAAGGAAGTGAACATTAGAGAGTGTTTCTTGAAAGCAGATTTGCACAGAGGAAACACCAGTTTGTTCTACAGAAAGAGCAAAGAAAGAAAAAAGGACAGAGGAAGATCAGAAACAGCATTTGTTAAATATGCTTTAGGAGAATTTCATTTGAGATAACTGAGACAATTGCTCCTGGCTGAAAATTAAAACTGTTTATCTTAAAATGTAGGTCACTGACTGAAATTATGCACTTCAAGTAACAAAGAAAATCACTAAAGATGACAGAAGTAGTAAATACACAGAAGTCTTGACATAGGATGAAAATAATTTTTAGTGCTACCATTCTCACAGTACCAGACTGTGCAGATTGTTCATTGCTCCAGTAATTCAAAACATAAAAAGAGGCCTATTGGCCTGGAAGGGTTCATACTTCTAGCTCTTGATCCTGTTTGTCTCAACACTACCTCAGACAGCGAAAGCCACATATAGTTTAATATGTTTCTGTGACATGTCTGTTTCCTGAAAAAATAAATAAACAAAACCACAGTTTTTAAAGGCTTGACTTGGTGTTCTTTCATATGGACGTTTCCAAACCTGACCCACTGTAGTGGTAGCCTGCACTGGAACGGCAATGCTTATTTGAGTAGCCAAAGACAGATGGAAGTACTGAATAATCAATGCCTCTCCACTGCGTAAACATCGCTTTTTTAGAATGAGAATTAGACCTTCTTGCTGGGGAATTGCTGCAGTCACTGCTCCTGTATCTTGGGCTTTTCAGACAGGCAAGAGGTGTAAACTCCGAGATGTGCTCCCGACAGTGCCTTGATGCATTCTGTTAAAGGGAAAAAAAAGAAACAAATACAGAGTAAATAGACAATCTTGGAACCAAGGGTATAGAATTGTTTTCTTTCATAGAACCACTGTCCCCTTGGTGTAATAAATACCTTTCCCTAGATCACCACTCTGGCTACTTGTTTCGTATGAATGTATAATCCCTTGTGTTGCTTTGCAATCAACCAGTTTCAACATGATTAGTTTTATATTAAAACCTACAGAACGAGCCATGATTTTACACTTAACTTCTAAACCTAATAATGAGCTCCTTAGAGAAGAGAAGACACAGAGGCCTGCCTTCAAATAGAAGTGTTTTAAATCAAGGTTATGTTTCATTTTGGAATTTCTGCCTAAACTTATGTAGAATTTTAAGACAGGACAGATTCAAGTACTTTGCCCTGTACTTCCAAAGAGAGGAAATTCTTTACAGTCAGTTTGTGCTAACAGACGAAGGTTCCAGAGCTCAATGCACTTGCTTTGTACTTCTAAGCGGTATTGAATTTTAGACTTGCTTAGGTTACATGTAGCCATCTATACAGGCAATTTATACTGTACATCTCAATACTATCTTGGTCTAATTGCCCATTAAAATTTATCCTTCTCACATAATCACTCCACACTCTGGCAGAATTGCCACTTCCGTTCAGGAAATGCTCAGGACTACAGAACACCACAGTTGCGTGACAAGAGTCTGGACATGTGCACAAACTGAAAACTAGCACAGCCCTTTCCCCAGTAAGTTTATAAAATTCCTTTCACTAAATGCAGATACAATTTACAGGTATAGAGGTCTAGAGGTTTTGTGATGGTGTCTAATATATAAATGCATTATAAACATGGTTCAAAGCAATGTTATTAATCTCTCCATGAATGCTATATAAATCAGTTAAACCTCTATTCTTAATCACCACCTTCTTCCCTGTTAATCAGAACACAGTAGCAAAAGGACAAAAATCACAAAGTAAATATTAATAATGTAGCTTAAAGAACTTTGGCTGCAATGTAACATGACACTAATGCCAATCTCAAGCTTGAAATACTACTCTTGCATAACCTAGACCAGTCTGAAAGCTCTCTTAAAAAGAAACTCTTGGAAAGGTCACAAAACTATACTAAACTGTTCACCACAGTGAGGCCTGGGTTCTTTCAAACACATATAGACCAAATAGCAACATCATTACATAAAAATCAGGTAACAGATTAGCAGATTTGCTTTGGAAATCTGGGAGGGAATAGTCATGCTGTCTGGTAGCTAATTTTCCTATTCTTTTAGCCAGAAAGTGAAGCATTTTAGTTACCATAGATAGTTCTAAAAATAAAATGGTTTTTTCCACACATGGCTTTGAGATAAGAGCCTTTACCAAGCCTGCAGCAAATCAAGGAAGTTGATGTTTTCTCCTACTACTTGTGTAACAGTCATTAAAAGTAAATTGGCTACTTTAGCTATCCTTCAGCTGCTTTAAAGTACTACAGCACACAGAACACTTGACATTTGTCCTTTCTACATACTGCAAACTTTGCACGTTCACTTAGTTCTTCCTGTGCTACTTTTGGAGTCAGGAGAGCATGAAGGGACTGGAACAGCCACAGCATCCAGGTGGGAATCATGAGAGTCAAGAGTGTACCTCCTTAGTCTTTTGTGTAGTCAGTGGCATAGCAAGGAGATGATGTAAAGCAGAGAACTTCATTCTGCTGGCCTTAAGTTTGGGGAATTTAGTTCACTGCTTATGCTGCTGTCCCAGATATTCAGCTAAACTATCACACTTCTCTCTTGATCTGAGGCAGTGAGACAGCAATGCCCTGGTCTGTACAGAACTGTGGCAGACACTGTCAGATGCACAGCCCCAGTCTTCTGACCCAAGGTCCTATTCACAAATAACTTGCTGTGATTATCTTCACATGTTACCATCTGCATTTGGTCTATATACGTATTCAAGAACATGAAAGATGATGGATAAACTGCTCGTGGGTAAGAATTACCTCTGACTACGTGTTCTACACTGTGGTGTAATGTGAGAACACACTGCAATAATGACTGCAGCTCTTATAGAAGAAATGTCACACAACACCTATACATAATACAATGCATTTATAAGATATGAATATGGGTATATCTATTTATTGGTTTGCTTTACATGACTGAGTTTCTGAGACAAAAAGATCTTACCTGTAGCATGGAACATCTCTTGCAAAAACTATACTCTCCAAGCAAAACAATGATTTTGTATCAATACTGATAAAGTACATCAAAAACTCTGGAGGAAACAGTTGATTTTTAAATAGCACCAATAGAAATTAATCCAAATTGGCAACACGTACAGTACTGTTACCTAGCTTTGATCTAATTATGGCTCGGAAGGTGAAAGATTTCCTTCAAGAAGTGGCCCATCGCAGTTCGTCAGTGCATTTTGGGCTGTTTTATGTCTCATACTCTTCTGCAAGGATGAGGAAAAACAGTGAGACTCTTGCTGAATACAAGAAATGTGAATGAATTGTACCATTTGGTAACTGTTATAGCAAAGTCCTGTAAAAGTGATGGATTTTCTGACAGATTTAAAAAGGAAAGGTTATCCAAGTGTAAAACAAGGTTTCTATTTCTGGATCCTTAGATTAATCATTTGAGGGTGTTTTTAATTCCATTTCAAACTCTGTTAGAAAATTACTCTGAAAAGCACTAAACTGACTAAGTACTGTGTGTCCTGCCCCTCTAATAATAACTTGCACTGAATGGGAGAGGTGCCTTTGATATGACAAGGTCAAATTGATCCTACATTAAGGAGGGGACATCCCGCTTCACTACTCCCCAGAACAACCGGCACACTGAAGGGAGTGCCCCACACAGAGGTGATGGAGCGGTGCTAATAAAGGCTGGCTTACAGCTCAGTCATTACACTATGGGCAGAGAGGGCCGGGAGTTGCCAAGGAAACTTCTTCCACAGCATTCAAATATTGCAACAGCAAGATCCATTGCTTTGTTTCTACAGAGGAGGAGCCTGACACGTGACAAAGGCAGCAGTTTGCTGGTGAACACTTTTCTAGCGCCCAGTGCAGTTGCTCAACAGCAGCTAAGCCCACTGAGGAACAGAAGAATGATGAAAACCCAGAGAAGCTTCCCCAGGCAAAAGACCACTTTGGGTTTCCCCAGGTGCAGAAAAGGGTAAAGATCTTATAACATGGTTGATGGCCCAAGCTTGTGACTGAGTGAAAGCAAAGTTAAAAAATCATCAGTCAAAAACAAAGAGAAAAAGAAAAATATTTTGCAAAAAGGGATGAAAGTACAGAAGTCATTTGCAGCTCAGAAATTAAACACCTGGTATTTCAGCTACCAAATACTTGGAATTGCTGAAACACTGTCAATCAAAGTGAAAATTATAAAAATGGAAATAGGATTTAATTTACATTTTCCCTACAGAGCGGCTGAAATTCTGCTACTAATGAAAGAATAAAGTAAAAGAAAATACAATCAATGTAGATTGGATATATATATAAAAAAAATACTCTATTGCTTTTTAAAAGCTAAAGCTGAAACCTCGCAGCTGCACAACCACCAGTTAAAGCACAAAATTCAGTTTGTGTCATTGAGCCAGAGTTGCAGAGACTACAAGAAATAAGCAGATTTTGATCAAAATTACCAAAAGGCAACAGATTCCTCCAAAGCTTTTGCAGAAGTAATGTTTTAGCCCAAGAAAGACAACAGTTCATATGTGTATATATATATATCAATATACATGCACACACATATATATACTTGTATGCACATATATGTATGTGTATACACATACACATGTATATATATATATATAAATCACAGAAAAGCTCTCTGAAAAAACCCAGAGCTATACTGTGGTATGTTTAACAACATCTGAATGTTAATGATCTTAAACAATCGCTCATCACACATTGGAATGACTCTCAAATAACTGATAAATTTATAAGAGCTGCTTCAAAGGCTTTATGCATTCTTCTTGCCTGAGTAGAATTAATTTAGTAACCTGGGAAATGGTCACTAGTCCTGTGTTAATATTTTCAACTGTTCCCAAAGCCCTTTTGTTATAAAGAAAACAATATCGCTTTTAGGAACGCAATAAATTTAAAAATAATTACTTATAAGCTCAGTTCAAATCAAGCCTAAGGCACTTAAGAGACAATTTTAGTCAGAATTGTCGATAGTGAAAAAAAATGTATTTTCCCTCTGATTTACGCAAGTGCAGTATTTTATTTTATTTTATTGACTATATATTTTTGAGGGGGAAAGAAGGAAGAAATACATTTTTTATCCTAAATATTTAAGAAAGAAAGATATAAAATCTGAGGTGAAAACCAACAGTCTCTGAATATTAAGTAAAAACCAGTTTTCTTGCAGACTGTAGGGGAAACAAGATTTACTAGCATTTCTTCTACTTTTATATTAAATATGCCTAACTTTCAGATCTTGAGCTGTTTTCTTTCTAGAAAGAACACGGAATTTAATAAAAGGGAACATAAGGAAAGCTCAAAATGCACGCTTGAAAAAAAAAAAGTTGCATTTTCTAGCAGCAGAGAAGATACATTAATATATTCCAAAGACTGCTTAAGTGGTTTCCAGTACCACATTTTGTGTACTATGTACAACATCAGCCTATTCAGAATTATCACTTGTTGGTGTGGCCACCATCTTACTTATTCAGGTGCGCTGGAAACACAACATGCATTCATCTACATACAGATGATTAAAATGGGGACATAATAGTCATAGATTTCTGAGGCAGAAACAATCTGTAAAATGCAGCAAGAACACTGACAAAAATTGATAGTGACAGTGAGGGACTGTGACAACAATTCATACAATCTTTGAGATACACAGAAAGAAAAAACTATACTAAAAATATTCCTCAAATACTTGACATGAATCACAAATGGAGATAATGAGTATAGTAAAAACTTCTGATGATAAACTTTATAAAGTCCTTTGAATGAAATGGCCAAGCATGCAGAAAGGCAGAAAAAAAGTCACCTTTTGTTCCATTAGAAACTTAGACTGCTTGAAGTCTGAGAAAGCATAAAGATGGTGGACTGCTCAACAGAAAGGCACTGATGTTTAGTCTGATTTCCCCAGAAGATTGTAGGAAGCAACCGAACACATCATTTATGTTTAAAGCAAGGTAGCAGTTATTTAGACAAAGCAGATTGGAAGACAGGCAGAAGCAAAGAGAGGGAAGAAGAAACACAAGCAATATAACTGGTTAAAAGTCACAGATCTTCAATTAAATATTAAAAAAAAATAATATTGCCAGTGAAGAGGCCACAGTCTGCTTTACTATTGATTAATTTTCCATACTAATACACAATGTCTGTAAGAAATGCTACAATATCTTTGTTAGGGCTTTTTATTTACTAGCTTGTTTCTTTACCTTAACCCTTGCTCATTCTCTCTCTTTAGACTTTTTAAATTAACTATTCAGAATCTATACTGAGGTTAACTCCTTCCACAAGTAGCACATACGGCAAAGAGACATCTAAGATCTCCAAATGAAAAAACATTAAATACTAATCTGCCTAGGAATGCTTTCCTGCTATTCTTTATTCTTTGCTCAAGTGAGGCATTATTATACCTGTACATTTTAGGAATATGAAACAGTGACAGAGAGTTTTACATTTGACACAGGGGTATTTTTTTCCTTGGTAGCAATGTTCTTTATTCCTTTCCTCTTAATGCAAAATACCTTAAACATCAAAATGCTACCTAATCCCATCTGTTGTTGGTAACTCATTCTTTGAACCTACTGGTGGCAGCTGATGGGCTGAAAAGGGCAAGGGCAGTAACATTAAGATTAAAGTTCAGCACCTCTACTGTCTTTCATGTTCTAACATAGATAATAAATAAAAGTTTACTGAGGTTAATATACTAGAAACATTTTCTATTCATGTCCCCAAGCATAGTACCATAGTTCCCCCACAGAACCTAGCTTCCTCTCCAGCCTTAGAAGAACTTGCATGTATTTACACAATCATTTCTCCTTTTGGGCTGATCAGATGAAAGGAGAGAATAGATACTAAAATTCTCTTCCCATTGGCACAGCAAGGCACATTTTTGTACAAATAATAGATAAGAACAGGCAAAATGTAAGTTGAAATACAAGAGGAAAAAATTATTAATAGGATATGAGTAAGTTTTAATGCATATGTTTCTATAACAGGTATCAGTATGTTATCAGATGTAAGTGCCTCTTAGCTACCCTTATGGAAATCCCCTTGCCCTTCTTTGATCTTCTCCCCAAATCAAAGATCATGTTGAGCCATGTAGCTGTCTCCCACCATCCTCATCAGCTGATTTTCCCTTTGGTTGCTAGTATGGAGGCACAAGTGTTGCCCCAGGATTCAGGTTAACACCACCATGTAAATAACAGGCAGCTTCTTTCACCATATTGCTCAGACACCACAGATGAGGAACCTCTGCTCTAATCTTATCTCTGACCTTGGCCTAGGTGATTAGACACTTGTAATACCTAACCTAGGGTAAAAACCCTAACTTCACAAAGTAAAAGATGATTTACCTGGATTCTTTCTGTTGCTGTAGGCCACAACTGCCTGCAAAAGACCTTCTTCAGAACATCTGGAAGAAGGCTGACAGTTATGAGCAGAATTATACCCAGCCACGCAGGACCACTGGACAGCATTTGCATGAACACATAATACATCCTCTGATAATTGAGAAAAGGCCTGTGAGGAAAAAAGATAAAATAATTATTAAACTTTAATACACAAAAGAAAGGCTGACAGTATTAAATACAAGAATTATACCAGTGATAAAATACTTCAGGTTCAGTTTCCCAGTTAGTGGGAATCCATCCATCCCAGTCTTCTCAAAGAGAGAGCTAACCATGCATACCATCTGGAGATAACTACCTTCCTTTTGTCTTCCAGACTGCAGAAAATATCATTCTGTCCCCTCCCTGCCATAGTGTCTCTACCTTGCAAAGATACATTAAGTTCATTCTTAATGTGTTTATGCTCTTCCATGTATCTTGCTCCAGCTATTTTCCACCTTTCTTCTTAGTGTCCCACCCACCATTACCCTGGTCTTTGTTAAGGCACACTGCTTTGCATGTATCCTCAGAGTAAGGCTTGTTAACCACACTTACTTTCATACCTCTCAGGCTCCCCTAAGCATCTCTGATGCTTTCATGTTATGCTCCCCATCCTATTCACCACACAGTTATCTAACCACACTATTAATACCTTCTCTTCCCTATCTCCCTGTATCCCATGCAGTTTCATGATCATTAAAATGCCATCACTGTATGGTACTGGGAGCCAGAGGCCATAATCACTGAGAGCCAAGATCAAGGGATTTTGCTGTAATACTGCACTGTAAAACCAGTAGGGCAATTTCCTGGCAGTTTTCAAAATTTTATAGTATTTGCATCCTAAAAAGGTAACTAAGACAAAATACACTTTTATATACACATAGTCATATCTCTAATGCACAGCAAGGCTTGTTGGAAAACATTATCTGGGAAAATGTCACTTCTGCAAACTGATGCTGAAGAAACTGAGATTTGACCTACTAGAAAAAAGAGGCAGCTAAATATCCAAGGACTTAAGAGGTAGTTATTCATTTGCAAAAGACAAGCCAAACACAAATCCTTTCTCTAAATTAAATGGCATCTTAAACATCAAGCAATAGTAAGCCCCCTCCTTCTGTCCCTCAAAATACCCTGTATACAAAGCAGAATGACTCCAACAGTAGTTAAAAAGATGGCCTTGTAACTGGGAGCTCTACAAGTGTGAAACAAAATTTCCAGCTCCTGATGGTAATCAGGCACACCCATGAACTTAATTTGTTCAGACTTTATTTGCTTTCCAAAAAATTCAGTTTCAAGTACACAGAACTTTTAATAACAAAACCCCCCAACACTTTAAATTAGCTATGCACAAGAGTTACACTAATTCCTATAAAGCTTCTTACCAACATGAATAAGTAGATGATCAGACACCTACAGTAACTCGCCTTTGCTAAGTAAGGAGGCAAAGCAATGAGCTCAAACACAGGACTCTTAGACATCCACATCACTTCAATTTTGAGTTCTGCTCCCTGTCTCTAGTTTTGACTGCTAAAGCTAGCTTCCAAGACAAGCCCAGCAGGTAGGTGGGTAATCACCAAGTGCACAGATATACCTGTTCTGTGACATTCTGACTCAGAAAGGCAACATTGCCTCCTTGAACCTGCCTTTGGGCTGCTTTTGACTGACACTACTGAGATAAACTCAGTGGTAGTCTGGGGTCTGATATTCTCCTTTAACATTTTAGCAGACATTCATTGATAGAAGAGCTGAACACTCTCCATTTAGCAATTATGATGTGTTTAAAATAGAGTTCTGCATTGTATAAAGGCTAAATTTAATTCTGTGACAAAAAGGTGAAATACAACTTTATGTTTCTGAAACAACTTTTGCAATGTAATTAATATTAAAGTTCATACCAAATAATTCCTCCCCAGAGCAGAGAAAAGACAATGTAGAATACCAGTGATCCCCAGATCACAAAGTGATTAATCCATGTCCAATAGTGTGTATCTAGTGCAAGCTGGAAAAAAAAAAATTATATGATGTTATTACTAACTAGACCCAACAAGAAATCCCAGCAGGAGATAAAACAGAATTATATCTTTTGAAAATAGGTAAGAATTCTACATAGAATTAGTTAAAAACATCTTTCAAGTTTGAGCACAGTTAAAAGGCACAGATAGCAAACTCTCCATTTAAAGTAATAAAACAATACATGGTGATAGAAAGAAACCAATATAAGTAACAATTGAAAAACAAGTTTTAAGAAAGTTTCAACAGATAAAATATAGCATACCTTACCTTAAATGTAACCGTGAACACAAGCACAGTAAACACCACTGTTCCAAAGGTCCAAGTTCCAAACACCTATAAAAAATGGCCCAAAGCAGTTATAGGCAATATTGTCCACTATGTTGTGAATTTTTCAGAATAAGTATCTTAAAACTTAGTATTACTTTGTATCATGAACTGACACTTGAGCAAAAACTGAATTTCTACATGATCTATCCAGTGCAAAGTGCTCTGGTTTCTTGGTCTGTATGTACATCCCTCAGATTTCACACAGACAGAAAAAGACCACAACCAATGCTCTGAAAGTGAAGTTCACACATATATTTCCTAATAGAAATCAAGGGTAGCACAATTAACAAATCACTGAGAATGGAAAATGAACTGTAGTCATATCATCAATCTTCTTGGATGTCATCTTTTTTCTGATTTCCCATCTCTGATGGATGTCCTTGGCATCCAACAATTTCTTGGAGGTTCAACAGCATGTTATACAGACAAGCATAAGAATGTTATAACCATACAAGTTCAAAAACGTCCACATATGTTTTAAGATAAAACACTTTTAACTTGTGTTTGATTTTCTTTCAACTTGCACACTGACATAAAAACACCTCTGCTTTTCAAGTGGGCAGAAATGACCATCAATGCTGATTCAGGGAAGAACTAGTGGTGAATATTGTCACAGAGGATTTCTTGGACTTCAGTAGCTATCAGATGACCAGGTTCAGGATCCAGAGAAATACTGGGAAAGTAAGCAACAGTTAGGACACCGGATTTTAGAAGAGACTGTGTTTGATTCAGGATATTGCACCCACAAAAGAGAGGTGTCCAAGAGATCCGAATTACTTTGAAACATAACTGTTGAGATTTCATGAACTCCCTTCAGCAGTTACAACTTCAGGAATGAGACAACTTCCATGCAGGCTTGGAATTTCAGCAGAAGATCCAGCTGCCAAAGGATGTTACTGCATGGACAAAAAGGCAAAATGGAAGCATTCAAGAGATGACCATGTGGGCAGACAGCAAACAGCATAAAAGCAGAGGAACAAATCAGACAAAACTCAGCTCTAACTAGGATTACTAGGGGGACAAAAAGGATATTTACAGACATCCTTTCCTCAAAGGAAGAATGCAAGTCTGCTGATGGAGTGGGATAAGACAACCTAGTGGAAGGTTTCAAAGAAAATGCTGAATTACTCAATACTCTGGATATTAGTCTTCACAAGCAAAACCTGCTCCTTGCAGTAAGCAGCAAAGATTGGGAAAGAAAGGAGCAGGCAACAGTGCGGGACCAACAAGGATGAGTTTTTTTTAAGGAGGAAAAGCAGTGGATGCAATATATTTTGAATTTAGCAAAGCATTTGACACTTGGACAACAAGGAAGCAAGGGCTGGCTAAATGGACTACTAGTACAGTTGAAAACTGGTTCAACCACTTGACTCAAAAATCCTTGGTGGATGGTTGGCTTCTGGTAATCAGTCAATCACACTAGAACAGCAACTGGGCTGGAAATTGTGGAATATCCCTGTCAGTAGCCGGATGGTGACAGAATATCATGAGCAAACTACCAGGTGGTATAAAAATAGAGAACAGCTGAAATAATGAATGACAGTTTCAATCCAGAAGGACCTTTGCTGATTTGAGAAGCAGGCTATAACAGATACCTTATGGACTAAAATAAGGAGAAGTGCAAAGATTTACACCTATGATGGATTAGTGACTGGCTGTGCAATGGCCCTGCTGAAAAGGAAGTTGCAGTGGGGTTTTAAGGACTCCAGGCTGAATACAAGCCTATATTGTGCTCTCCATATACTCCATAAGGTAAACGGTACAGCAACTGCGAGGAACATGGCCACTAAAGAAAGATATTTATTCCCCTGTTGACTCCTGCTACGGTGAGGTTGAACCTGGAACACTGTGCTTGGTTTTGGGCCCCTCAGTTTGTGAGTGATGTGAAAAAAATAGGAAAGTGATCAGTGATAGGCAACCACGGTGTTTAGAAGCCTGTAACTCTCCTGCAAAGAGGGGTGGAGGAACTTAGTCTGGTGAAGAGAAGGTTAAAAAGCTGCCTACAAATAGCAGCTGCCTACAAATACCTGAAGAAGTACAAAGATGAAGAACTGGAACAAATCCCTCTTCAAAGAGAAATATTCTGCTTAGGGATTGTGAGAAATTTTTCCATCATGAAGACAGAAAAACATTGGAATAGGTTGTCCTGGAAGGTTATGGAATCTGCAAGTTCAGAGATACTGAAAACCTGAAGACTACACAAAGCCTTCAGCAAATTGATTTTAATTAGCCCTGCACAATGAGTTGAACTGGATCATGTTGAATATACACTTTTCTGTATGAGCTTGCCCAACATTACATGACAGGTGGGAAGTTGATCATACAGATATGCCGCTGTACAAAATATTCTGAATGAAGACCACGGCCAGCACAGGACATAAATCAGTAGAAAGCTAGTCTAAGATAATGCAATCAACTGGGAATGGAAAAAAAAAGAAAATAAACAAACGACTGGCCAAAAGATTATTCTCAGTAATCATTTCACTATTTTAAAACTACTTACTGTGTGACTGAGTCTACTGAACACTAGATAAAATTCAGAAAACCTTCAGCATTTTGACCTTTTACTTTGATATGTAATAGGCTCATGTCATCATTGTATTTTCTGTGCCATATAAAAACCTATGCAGTTAACACTGGAAAGGAATCTGGATCAACAACGTCCAATCATGCTGTTTACCAACTTTCTTCTTGCAGTTAAATGTTATAATGTTCTTGTGTCATATGCAGCATCTGTTACAGAACCTACTGTCAGTCTAAATTTCTGCACACTGCACAGATTTGTCCATATTTGCAATTAAAGCTGCTAGATGAAATAAAGAATTTGAAACAACCTTCCCCTGTCTGTTTGTTAGGCTAGATAGAAAGCATTTGTCTGCAACCAATCCTCTTATCCACCCATCTTACTGACTCAGAAAGTGAGGTCCCAGCACAGGGACAAAAGCTGCTACTTTGGTGCAGAGAAAGGTAAGTGAAGTAATATGGGAAGGTGTGATTTACAAAAATTCACAATGTCTTCTTAGCACTGACTGTCTCAAGATACATGATTCATGCCTTCGGGAAATGAATCATTCTTTTGTAAGTCTGTTAACATCTAGTTTATTCACGAGTATTTTTCTATGGTCTCCTTCCAGCCTATCCAAAACTTCCTCCTCCTGTGACTGTATTTGTTGATCTTCCATGTTCCAATTCAGCATTCTGCTCACCTATCTTCCTGCCTGTTGTTTTGTATTTCTCATTCAGTTATTCCTTTTAACTTAGTCTCCCTCAATCCAGCTTAATTGCATTTAATGTACTCTGTATCAAATGATAAAATAAGGAAAATTACCCAGGAAATACATTTTATTATATGGGTAAACTAATACGATGTTTGCAATCTGCTATGACTTGTACAGTGCCTCTCTTTCTTCTTACTTTTCTTCTGTAGTTGGTTTCTAACTGTATGTTTTTGCAACACCAACCACGATGTCCTATCCATAATGGAACACCACACAAAGCAAAATATCACAAAAGCCAAGTATCACAAATTAATAACAATAAGAGCTAAATCTTTGTCATCTTAGTTTTGCTTACCAGAAAATGACCAAGGGAGGCATTTATAAAGTAGATCTCAGTGATAAGAAGTATACTTTTCCATTTTTCTAGTAATATCACACTACAGGAAGCAAATAGTTTCAAACTAATTTCAAAACACTGAGAAACATTTTGGGGGGAACTGTGTTTGGAAGCAAGCTTAACGGTATGTTCATTTTAGTCTGACAGGCAGAACTGTATGGGGAAGATATTGTCTTTGTTCATTTTTTACTAGTTTTGCGATAATAATGATTAGGTCATTTGTGGGGAAAGGAAAAAAAAGATCATAATTTTTGCTTCAGTACCCATTTTAAGAATCTGGAACCTGACTTATAGCATTACGTATCACTTATGGCATTAGTGTTACTGTCAGCTTTTTTATGTTCTTTACTGCTTTCTATTTTTCCTTGTTCAATAATAACATTTTGTTGCAGTAGCAAACCTTTCAAACCTTCAAATTCCACACTAACTTTTTCCAGATGTAAGCAAAATTTTAAAACTGGGAAATAACTATCAACACCTATTAGGATTGACGTGTGTATAAACTCACATAAGTGTCTCTGGCTATTCCTGAACACTTGAAATTTTCATGCCTTTAAATCTAAAATGGCAACTCAGTATCTCTCAAGTTTTATACATAAACACAGGCATGCATCCTCAAAGACAAATTTTCTAACGCAGACACTCAAGACTCAGAATGTCTCCTCAAGCAACACATTATCTTCAAGTATTAACATGGCTATCTAGTTGTAGACTTCAACATCTGAAATTTGGGAATTAGGCATTAATCTGGCTTTAGAGCCTTAGAATTAGATTGAATGCGTATAATGGAAGACAACTAGAATTTCATAAAGGAACCAAGTGAGAATATTTGCAATACAAACTGTTTACAAAATTGGTACAGGTATGATAACTCTAATTTTCAGCACCCTAAATATATGGTGATGAAGAATTTTGGACATCTAACAGAGAGCATAATGGTATCAAAAAAGCTATAGTGCAGTATGTGTAATTCTGTCCAGTGGAAGCTCATTCTGTCCTTAGAAAAAAATGCTTTTTAACAAATGTTCTCTCTCTCACACTAGAAGTTCATTTCCCTGACAGATGTCACAAAGGTGGTTTTCAATGATATCTGAACACTGTATTTGTAGCAAATGTGCATGTTTCATACAGGCAAGAAAACCGTGTAGAGTTTATTTTCTTTCTCACTTTGAGGACATTTTCTAAACCCATTAAAGCACATTATAGCATAAACCATAAAAAAAATTCCATAGCAGAGAGTCAGCAACAAAATGTAGGTTACAGAAAAGCATACAACAGAATAACAAAATGCAAAGAAGCAAAAAGCTTTTTTAAAGTTCATGGTTCTATACCACACCTCATATACCTCAATATAATTTGTATAAAGTTCTTTTTATTTTAAATACTTAGAGAGTAGCTATAAAGAACATTTCTAACGCTAGGCTTAAATGATATTGTACTGCTCTTTAACAGTTTAATTTAAGAACAGTGAAAGATGAAATGGATATCATGACAAATCCACAATAGTCTTACCATGTGAGTGCTGGTTGTCATTAGCTGAGGATAGGAAGAGAAGCAAGTAGCAAAAAGAAAAAAAGCACACAAATAAAATAGACCAAAATATCAATGGATAAAATAAATAAAATGCAAAAGTTCATAAAATTTGCATTCATGTGACTGCAAAGCAAGTAGAGATAGATTATTTTTAAGCTGTTATATGTCAAAAATAATTAAACTATTAAAAAGCTTTCATATATTTAAAATCTTCTATGATCATTCATAACTACTCTACCGAGAGCATTTTGATATGTTAAACACATTCATCAGATGCATGTTAAGTATGAAACTGAAAAGTTACTGTATACATTAAGAAGACATGGAATCGATGTCATATATTTCTCCTAATTAGTATCCAATCTTATGTCTCTGCTTACTAATACACAGTATGTTTCATTGCATTGTTCAGATTTTTTTAAACAGATAACCCATCTATCTCACTGTAACTCATAAAAAAGTTATCATCTTGCATAAAATATTAAAGAAAACAATTAAAATTATGTTCATTTCACAACTGGCATTAAAACAAATTACCATTGACTGATGAAATCCAACACTAACCTGTCCGTTGCTGGTCACAATTGTGTTGTCTAACAATAAATAGGCACCAAAGAAAAATACCACAGCATCAAACACTCCTAGGAATGTCCAATAAATAAATGCACGCCAGCGCAGCAAAGCATTCTTGGCAACATCTCTGTGTGAAACAAGAAACATATGTTCATTATCAACAGGTTTGAAAATCCCAGATAACTGAGATCATTCATACTGTTTCTTGAAAACCACCACATTTCCACATTACAACTGTCTACCACTGCAAATCTAACTCCTACCTCAACATGTCCTCTTTATTTTTATTTAATTGTTACTAAACCCCTTTTACTGATCCCTGTAATTCTGCTTATTTCAACAATGGCAAACTCTATGCTGTACCCGTTTACTTTTCAATCTCTTTACAGAAGGTATCTCTTTTCCAGTGCTTGCTGTGCATGTCATGATCCACTGCAGATATTAAATGGAAACACTAGAGGTCTCTGGAGACTTTGCTTTATTTCCCCTAGGATACTTATATACAGACTACTGCAACAAAATAAAACATTAATTTTATGTGGAATGTAAAACGAGGGGTTTGCAGTTGACATGAAGCTTCAGGTCAAATAGAGTTGCTTGAATGTTTTTCCACAAAAACATACAGGGATTTGTAAACTACAGAACGCTTCACTAGCATGTATTTTCTTACTACAAAAAACTGTTAAATGTTACAACTTCAGTTTTTGTCCATGTAATGGGTATGTATCAATTTGGCATACAGTATAGAATGCATCAGAGTCCATCAGGACACAGTTAAATGAAAACCCTGAGTTACAGAAACATTTACTACCAACCAGTACTTCTATCATATGAACTTCAAAGACTGTCTGATGACCACATAAAGTAATTTCTCCCCAGAGATTAACAATAAAGAGTGCAAACCCATATTTGGCCACGAATAGCCTCATCTGGCCCAGAACAACCACTATTGCCCAAAACAGCTTAGGAATAGTCTCTGTCAGGTATCAAAACACACAAGTTTCTGACAAGTAAGCTCTGCTAGCTTTCATAAACCAAAAAGAGGCTTCTGAATTACCATTTCTAAATTAAAAACATTCAAAACATCAGAGAAAATAAAAACATTCCTGCTGAAACTCAATAGTAATCTTTTGTATTCCTCTTCAAATTTCATTAGTAAAAACACATCACTACTGTTGATTAATGTTTGGGCAGCTAATATTACTTCTTTCAAAGAATGTTTTTTCTTTGATTATCTCCTGCTACCCCTCCCTGAAATGTACTGGCTTTGCAGCTACAAGGATATAAACTGAGCACTGTTCCTAATTTAGATGGCCAAATGCAGTTCTGTATTTCAAGTGGCTAAGAACCTAAACAAGACAATTCCAATGCCCAGAAATGAGTCAACAATATGTTGGACACCACACAGAATACATCCTCTGATCCACTGTAACATTCAGTCATCTTTTCTTAAAGAATAAAACACGTATCTAGAAAAAACAGCATGTTTTCTTTTTTTAAAATACTTCTGTTCCCCACGTTTCCTCCCCATGGTTGGAGGAAATAAAGAGCATTAAAATAAATCTCCTAATATGATTTTGTTAAACAGTGATTACTATTTTGCTTTCATTCCCTCTGTAGCAAATGCCTGGTTTGGTTTGTAAATGTGCATGTAAAAACACATGTTGATCTATTGTAACTTCGTAGGCCTTGTTCCTGGTCTTCAGTCTTTCTGTTGCAGTGTATCCGATGTTCTGCTGTATCCTTGCGGTATAGAAATCTTGAGGACTTCCACTGTAACAGACACAGTCCCCACAAATGAACAGCCAAACTTTGGGGTACAGTGTTTTAATTTTACCTGTACAGGGAAGGCTCTCTCTTGAGTGTGTCTGGACTGACATGTTGTTCCATTAGACCGTACAAGAGGATAGGAAGGGAGGTGAAGCTGATATTGTACAGTGTGAGATACGCAGTATCATATAAAGTCTGTAGATGGAAAAGAATTAAATCAACTACTTTTAATTTAAAATCAAATCATAGTTTATAAATAAATCTTCTGCATGAGGCTTCATTTGAAATGAATGCATGAGCTTCTGCAGGAAACCAAACTTATATTTGTTCAGAATGGAGGTAAATACCCCTGAACAGCTGCTGACTGGTATGGGATACAACTCTCCACTTGTATCCCATTTACCTGGAGGAAAAAATCATCAAAAAAATCCATTTCATGGACCACTGTGGTCCACATACTGGCTCCTCCTATTGTTTCAGCTTTAATACCAGATCCAAATTACACATTCCTGTAGAGGCAGAAATTTTTCTCTGACACAACACCCATATAGCTCCTTCCCCTTTTATCACCTCAATGTCTATAAAAAAGGATAAAAATTAAGTATAATTTTTATATACCAATATAAAGCTAAATTTTCATAACACATGTTTTCATATCTAAATCCTAAAAATGCTTTATAAAAACCTACAAAGTTTTCTGTGGTTGTTTGAAACAGAATTCAAAACAGAAAAAAAAAGTAAATTGTTACTTTAACTTCTCCTGGGCTTTCTTTCAACAAATTCAATAGTGCTGTTTTCCTCCCAATTAAATCCAACTCTCACTCAATTTAATACTGAAAACATAAACCCTTTTTGTCCAAATTCAGTCAATCATTCCTTTGTTTTTTGCTCCCTCATTCAGAAGAAAGAAGAGGTAGATAGATCTTTTCTACACAAATTAGATGAGAACAAGGGAGAAGAGAAAATAAACAAAAAATTAGGAAGGCAAATACTGAATCATCTCCTGAATGATGGCACTTTTCTGTTGAGTAATAGTTCACTTTTCCTCCATTTTTCAGTTTTTATATTTTCTTTTCAAGTACTTGGATGCTGCTATTCATCTGAAATTCTTAATTCATACCTGTTTATGCTACAGAAGACTACTTAATTCTCTCATTTTCATTCTGAATTCTAAAAATGAACAACTGGTTCAATTACTCATCTTTCAGGATTTCCCCTATTCACGTCCAGTAGGCTTAAATCTAACTGAATGCACATTTCCCACAGACACTTCACTTTGCACTGCCATTTCCAAATATTGTATTTTTGTATTCCTTAACTTTAACATTGCTTTTATGATAATTCATAAAACCAGTAATTCTGTAACTTAAATGCAATTGCCACTGAATACTGTATGAACCAAAAGTGATGTTCTTCTTTGTGTAAGTTAACACTAAATTTTTAGGAAGAGCTTTTTTTTTTTTGGTTATAAAAAAAGCAAAAAAGATAACATGACACTGATAGAAAAAGATCAACTAACCTGTTGTGAAAACCCACAGAAGAACTGATATAAAAACTGAGGAAAAATGAAGCAGACATTCTGAAAAACAAAGTGAACTGTTGTAAAGCGAAATGCAAGCACTAATTTATATACAAGGCTATAGATAAGTGTATCATAGTTGTATAACACTAACAATAGTGAGCATGGCAGGAACAGTAATAAAAACTACATATATATTAAACTCCAACAGTCACATCATGCAGTAACACTGTTAGAAAAAAAACACTTAAAATATTTTCAAAACAATCTTACAAGGCTACAGTTTGAAAATTCAAGGGCAGTGAAATTTGGGATCCAGGAATACAGTTCAGTTACAGCAAAGCAAAAAAGGGATAATCCAAAGGAGGAGACAAACCATGATAAGCAAGCATGGATACTCTGGCTAGCATGGTTTCCAGAAAGCAACTGTAAGATGTTTCTAGCTGTAACTCCAAATGTCATCCTCTCCCAGTTATAGCTGTAGTCAAACATGAGATCAAACCTGTAACAGTTCCTTTCTATAATACTCCATTGCTTGCTGAAAGAACTTGGATTAGATGCCAACATTTAGAAATAACAAAACTGTCTAAATAGGGGTATGCTCACTATCAACTTTTTCCACCTACATTATTCTAATGAATTTAGGTTAACTTAATTTGCAGTAATGTCTAAAAGTTCTCAAATACTATGTCCAATGTGATTTAAAAGTTCATGACAGAGACAACGTGGATGGTACTGGAAATAAGCAGACCAGTCTGAGGTGGAATTTGTAGGATATGAAAAAATAAGATGAAAGTTTTGGTTTTAAGTGCAACATCTATTACAGAATCTATCTATATAAAATCTATTTCACTTCATGTTCAGAATAAAAACAATAATCCCATTTCAGCACTGCATCTGGTACTCAAGAAAATCTCTTTATGGAATTACTGCCAGTTTGTATCGTTAGTTGCAATAACTTTATATAGTCAGATATTTAAGTTTTTGAGGCTTATGTAATTAGAATAAGCATTCTCCTACCTTATAAAAGAAGTATTGCACAAGTTCAGATATCCTAATGTAATATAAATGCCCATGAACAAGCAACATTTTTTTCAAATGTTTAAATTTAGGTATTGCATAGTCACTGTTTCTTGCTGCTTGACGACCTTCTTTGCCAATAATTCCTTCAAACACAAAAAAGAGGTAGAGCTATTTAATACGTAAAGAACCATTAAAAAGACATAATTAATTGCAAAATTATATAATAATTCTATGGTACTACAGAATGGGAGATCACGACTGTATCTCATACAATTCCTAGGACAAATGCACTAAAAGTTGTCTGTAACACATATAACCTGATTCTTTGAGACTGCCTGTTTTTAAGAAATACATGGTTTTTGTCATTTCACTTGAAGTAATATACTACAGAGCAGGCTTACCTATACCAACATGTGCTTCTAGAATCATACTGACATCATTTGCTCCATCACCAATTGCTAATGTGATAGGATGTTCTTTTGATAATTTAATCAACTTGACAATCTGAAAAAAAAATAGTGTTAGAAACTCTCCTCTGTAATGGTTTGCTATTCTGCATAAGTGTAACATTAAATAAAAATTACCAAGACAGTTTTATAATAAATTCTCAGAAGGCAGGGAAAACCAACTTTACACATTGCAACAGCTATACATAAAGATCAGTTTCCTCATATTATAAAGTATTTATTCCAAACATTTTTTAAATATTTCCAAACTACTAAGAGAGAGATGGGACAGGAGGAAGGAAGAGCTGAATAATGGAAGATGTTGTTAAGATTCCTTAATGCTGTGTCAGTGCATCAGTAAATTAAGGGTATTCCAGAGAGTGCACCATTTCAAAGAAATCCTGAAATGAAAGACTAAAAACCTTTTATTTCTAATCTGTGTTGAACTTTTTTCCTACATTTAAGAAAATATATCAGACTCTATATACATATAAAAACTATTGATATAGAAACTGTCCAAATATGTGACTTCAAATCTCTCCATTATAAATTATCGTCTCTGAAAACTTGGTACTGAGTCAGCTGCAACTAAGAACTTCTATAAACTTCCAGATAATTATAGTGCTGGCATACATTTGTTAATGTGAATAAGGGTTACATATGCTACACCTGTGCACTGAGAAAAAGACATGACAAACTGAAAATAAAAATAAATACATATACAAGTACTTCTTTCCTGTAACAGCTCTTCAGCTGTTAAAGGTAGAGGTTTCAGTATTGGAAGGATACATTTTTACTTGATACAAATGGCAAATGCAACAGTCAGGTATACTAAAACATGATAATGCACACTTTTTTTTGTCTATTCTTCTTGGCTTTCCACTTAGGTTAAAAACAGAGAAAAATATCACTGCATTAACAAGTAACACAGGTTCTTACAGTGTTAAAAGAGTAGACTATACATAGTTTGTTAAGAAGAGAGTAGTTAGTTCATTTATTAAATATGTTCATACTACCATATACCAACCATAAAATTTGAACAGTATGCACGTAAATCAAATTCAGGTGCACAGCTGGGTGCTTTTGTAGCATACCCTTATGTAAATTGCTTGCCAGCAGAAATTTTCACCCCTCCATTATTTTTTTTTTAACTTTTTTTATTTTAGAAGATGAAAAAAATGAATGGTAACATCTTAAGTTATCCTAAGTCATACAGAGCATTAATCTTCAATATTTACACATGTGCATAACTAATGAGCAATTATGAAATTAAACACAAACCTGTGCTTTTTGCAGAGGTGCCATTCGACAGCATAACACTGCACTGCAGTTCCTGCAAATATTAAGAAAGATCTCTCTGTAGTTACCAGAGCTCCCATCGTGTCTTGGTTTCATTATTAATGATAATGCTGCTCCATCAATAATTAAGCCATAATCTTGTGTATCGGTTGAAAGTCTGTTTGGGAAGAAAATATAAACTGTCATTATAAAATTCTCAGACACATTTAAAATCTGTCAGTAAGAATTATGTGCAAATTAATTAATGAAATAATAATGCGTATAGAATACCACAAAATTAATATACTTCTAAAGAAAATTCCTTGTATAAGACTTACAACATTTTAAAATTCTGGATTATGTTAAAAATATTCAGTGCTTCACCAGGTTTGAATACATAAATCTGATATCTCAGCGACTTCACCACTGAGTATGAGTGTATAATTAATGACTTTTCAGTTTGGTTTGAAAAGGTCCCAGGAAGTGCAGTGAGCTAAACCAAGCTGCAGAAAAAATGTTAATTTTGTGGCACATTCCATAACACAGAGGAAAAGTAAGTTAAAGGGAAAGGCCTTCAGTACTCTGATGAGGAAATAATTTTTTTTCCAAGGGTCTACATTTACAGAAGTAAATAGTGCCTTGAAGGAAATGCCTAAAAGAAACCTCTTGGCTCAGATGGATAAGGCCACTGTCTACATCTACAATATGGATATTTTGCCTTTAGAGTAGTGGCTAAGTCAAATACAGGTTTACTTTCATTTACAACACTAAAATGAAAAAACTATTTATGTTTCCTATAATATTACAATATATTCTTATCCATAAAAATCTATTAGCAGTATGCCTGAAGTGATTTGAACATTGCTAGAAGTGTAACCATGGTCACAGGAAGTAGTTTATTCACTACTTTATCATACAGTGCACAATGGGAGAAGGTAAGATGGTCTGGACTGCAAGAGCAATTTTCTGCTGCATCCAAATAAGTTATTTCAGAGCACCCTTACATCTGCCTGCATTACACAGCAGCCTCAGGCTCTGGGTCAACAGTGAATGTTGTATAAATGTACACTGAGGTTTATTTTTACACTCTTTGCAGTGTTCCAAGGTTATACACTGCTGTGCATGGGGTTTCAACAAACATGGTTTCACCAAGACCAATGTTTGAGAGAAAAACACCATATTTATTAATACATGTTTTAGGCATCTCCATAATTTTTACTAGAACTGAAGCTATTTTTGGCAAGATAAAATTCTGTAAACTACATTTAATAACAGTTCCCAGATATTTTCATCACTTTGCTACTGCTAGCACAAACAGGGCAATGCCATCGGTGTACAATGATATCAAATGAATAGCTATCATTAATGAGGTCAAGTAAGATACTGAATTTTTGGTGTATTATAGTGAAGCATGTTTAGCTTGAATTTGAACATACAGGCAGAATCCTGCTATTACTATCTTAGTACTATTCTCCAGCTCTGGAGATAAAGGCAAAAAAATATCTGAAGAGTTTAAACATGTAGAAAATTGGCATTGCACAAAAAGTTAAACAAACATGTTTGATCACACCTTGTAAGGCCTGTGGTACTTAAACAAAATGGTACAGATGACATGGAGAAAAATTATTTATTTAACTGATTATCTAAATGTTCTTGATTAGACCAGTGGGGTATAAAATGTAAGGAAAGCTAAGAAATATTACCTGGTCCAGACATTTAAGCTGTAAGGCTAAGAATTATAGAAAATCTCTGCTAAAATACTGTCACAAATACTTGTTAACTTATTGCTAACGGTTTTATGGTGGAAAAATTATTACAGTATCAGTTGTGATTTTTCTTTTAAGAGTCAAAGTAGTACCAGAAATGAGATAAAGAACCATGACTGAAAACCTAAATTTCTCTAAACAATCCTATACTTAATTGCTATACAATAGTTCACACATTAGCAACAGAAACTGAAACATACTGCTGCTCTTAATGTAAATGGTCATCATTTCATTGTTTGCAAAATGCCCAGAAGCCCATTTCCAGCCTTAAAATACAACTTTTGCCTTACCCTGAGTAGGTATCCCTGGTTAAGCTGCCATTTTGTCTTATGACAGTTTTGTTTAGGTCAAAAAGCACATCATGTAAACTCTGCTCCTCAATTTTCTTTGTGGTTAGCTCAAGTATTTGTGTATTTCGTCGGAAGAGTTTGCAAGCGTAGCAAGTAGCTGCAGCAGTCTCCATTTTGTCTCCTGTCAGAACCCAAACTTTAATTCCTGCTTTCTGGAGCGCTTCAATTGTGTCAGCAGCTTTTTCTTGTAGTCTGTAAAGTCAATTGACAACATACATCGATGGGCTACTTGGAAATGAGAAAGGTCTTTATTGAAAGATTTTCATAAACAAAAAATTTCAATAGAAGTTAACAGATCTAAGAATTTTCCCCGAATTATGACTCCAAAAATATTTAGGGGGCTAGTATATGTTTTTGAATCCTTTTAAGACCTAAAGATTCTTCCTTCATTTCCTCAATACCCTTTTTGTAGTCTTTTCCTCCAAAACTTTTGCCTATAACTGGTTCAATAAATTATTACATGTATGTAAATGGTTCAAAGAATACACTCATTTTTGTACACTTAACTATTATTAATTGCTTACTAGGATATAAAGTTGCTGTGTGTAACTTCGGTAAGATAAGAGTGTGAAGTTGATTCAAATAAGGGATTTCCCAAATAAATCTCTAACGCAGAAAAAGAGTCTTCAATTACTTTGTCCCCATCACTGAACATAGGAAACTAAGAAATGTACTAACTAACCGATCTTCCACAGCTGTAGCACCAAGTAATATAAAATCTCTTTCTATCTTCTCATACACTTCTGCCAATTTCTTGTCCCGGTCCTGAAGGGCCAACTTTGCATTCTGAAGCAGCTTCTGTACATTGCTATATTCTTCTGCAGTGAGCTTTTTATATGCAACACACAATGTTCGCAGTCCCTCCTAAAGACCACAATCAAAAGAAACAAATTGCATTTTACAAAACTTGTCTTAGACCTCTTGCTGTTGTTTATGCTGGAGGATCTGAAAAAGGAACATCATGAAGTGACTAAGTATAGACTGGTACAGTACAGTATAGACTAGGATATGGTTCAGCTTCCTTCTGTTCTGCTCTGGAAGCAATTACAACTTGATGAACCAACCTCAATTTCCCAGAAAATAAACAGCTCAGTGATCCAACTGGATATATGAGATTACAAGAGATGGCAAAGTCAAGGTAAATGTTTCCTTCCCTATGTGTATAATTAGGCAGAATGAGTCAGAATAATAGTAATATATGCAGAACCTGATTTTGTTGCTGTGTTGCAGCACATCCACAGAGACCAAACATCACAAAGAGAACTGAAAGCGAAAATCCAACGGTACCAATTTTGGTCAAGTGAAAACTAGAATTTAGCTATGAGTGTCTCAGACTGCATCAAACTTCTGGACTGTGTGATGAACAAAAAAGGGAGTATATAAATTGTGTAAGGTGGGGAAAAGTTATTATAACACAGAAAAGCTTTGCCATCTGAGTTATATATTGCATCTCACAATACCATTTAACTGGCACTTCAGCTTCCTTAACTTTAATCCATAAGTACAGTTACTTATGACCAAACCAAGAAGGAGAATTAAAATACCTTCCAGGCTCTTGATATTGATAAAAGCAGGTGCCAGGTATTCTCTTTGACAGGCTTCTGTGTGTAGCCTGGAGCCAATCCTATTTCTAATTATGTGGTATGAAGAATTAGGTGCTGGTCTGGATTTCTTTCCAGACACTGAATAGATATGATATCTAAATATATAAATTTATATATATATTCTAAATATATAAAGTTATAAATATATAAATACTGTTATATAATATATATTTAATATATAAACACATAAATATAAATATATAAAAATTAAAAATATATATATATACTTTTCAACTTCATTAGCCTCTTTTACTTGTAACTATCAGACAGCTGTCCCATATAATGAAGCTTAGTAAAGCAATTTGAGAGTTTTTCCCTTCAAAACAAAAGCAGGTGACACTGTGGCTTTTTTTTTTCCACATATCTGTAATACTTTGTTTTCAGTTTGAGTACTAGAAGTCATCAAATTATATGCTATGAAACACTGGCAGTTACCCTGCATTGCAATGAGTTCTGCATATTTTCAGACACATCAAAATTCAGTACTTTACAACTCCAAATACTATTTTTAGGTAAAACCAAGTTCTGAATTTCTTTTATAGGTGATCAGACAGTTCATAGCTAATTCTTAGCAAGCAAAAATATAAGATATGGATGATCACTGCACTGCCTCCCTAGAGCTTGTGAAACAATCAAAGGCAGAAGATCATAGTTGCTTAGGCTGGGGACTGAAACTAGCAATAGTTTTTAAAGAGATGTACTTCTATTCAAAAATTAATTCAAACCACAATTGTGAAAATGCCATACTAATGAGCTAACTGATGACCTCTGGTTTAGCATACAGTTGTGCATATCTAATGCATTCATATTGCACCACAACTGACATCTGGAAGATGAGATGGAGGACAGATGCAAATAAGGGAGTTACACACACTGCTACCCACAAAGCCTGAGTGAACCTTGGCATAGAACAACCTTGGTGCCTGTAAAGATAAATCTGTTAGCAGATAAAGCAGGAGATCACAACAGTTAATTTCTTTTTGACACTGATATCATGTGAACAGATCAATAAAATGGAATCTTACCACTGCATTGCGTTCTACTCGGGATCGTACTTGCTCAATTTTACCTTCTTTAACCCTAGGAAATATGGACGAATCTGCTCCCTTACAAAACAGAAATATATCACCTAAAAGAGACAGCATATAGAATTAAATTTTTTCTTCAAAAAGCAACCAAATTAGTAAGTCTTCAAAATGTTTTCTTCCAACTTTTCTGTAATATCTGTAGTCATACTAGTACCTAGTCCCTGATTTTATAAAGCAAGGTACACAGACTGTGTTTAATGCTTAACTCTGATAAATCTGAAACAAATTCACGTGAAACAAAAAATCTAGCAGAATGTGTGACAGCCCTACCTGTTGAAGATTTAACAATTACACTCATTCGCCGTCTCACAGAATCAAAACTGAAAACCTCCAGTAATTCAAACCTGAAACAGAAACAAAACTATTTTTCACACAACTCTGTATTTCCTAATCCCTAAATTGGTTATAATGACTTCAAGCATATAAATTAAACACCATTTCTAATATGGAAGATTACACTGAGTACTATGGAATATGGAAGTAGTAGAGAATGAAATATCAGGTTGCAAATAATAAATATGGAAAGCCCTGAGCTCCTAATTACTTGAAACAGAACTTGTGAGGTCCCTAAGTATCTTTGGATTCATAGTCCATCTACTTTATTTAAGTACAAGATAAGAAACCTTGCAACAGAGAACTGTACTGATTATATAGTTTCTATGTATAATACTTAGACATAGCCTTAAAACTTGAAATGCATGCTTACACACAAGTTTTTTTTTTATCTTTTACTAATTTTTACTATGCTGTTGTTTGAGATTTCAGTCTTTTTATGGCTGATTTCTTTTAGGATACTCTTTCATGGGGAGTTTTGTTTATTTTGGTTTTGTATCAGGAAGAATACTTTAAAGGCTTGTTAGGCTTTTGTTTTTCATGTTTATTAATAAAAAAAAAAAATATTAAAAGACTTGGTCGGTCTTCTCCAGACTTTCCGTTTAAGTTCAACTTACTACTGTTTGCTTTAAATGGCAAAAAATGGTATTTTATTTAATTTTATTTATTAAATTGCTCAAATATTGATAATTCAAGTGAAAAAAAAAATTTACTTTTACTGGTTTTACACTTGTCATTATTTCTAGGATTTGATTTTATCACATGTTCTTTTCCTTTCTAAGTGGAAAAACAAACACCAGCTCTTGTTGCACTGTTTTGGTTTCATCAGTTTATATACTGCTTTCATTTACTCTCTTATATATTTCCATGAATTTAAGAGAGCCTCTCTTTTTCCAGCACAAACATAACCAATCCAATCATTAATTCCAACTTTTTCAGGATTTGTCTATGTCCAGATCTGCTTGTTTAGTTAGATACTTCAGTCCTAAGTCCTTTTAACGCCCTAGAACTCAGACCTGTGCAAGCTACATCAGAGGCCCATGTCTACAAAATGTGATGCATTTGGGAGAAAATTCTCAATAATTATAGTGCTTTCTTCTGAGTCACCAAATGATACTCACTCCAGTTCTTATGTGCTGATTCAAAAAAGTCTGAAGTAACCTTTGAGAAAAATTCTCCGTTATTATCCTAAAAGGGAGTAAAGTAACAGCAAGGCTCCTATATTTGTGTCCAAGAGTCCCTGTGTAGTTAGCAGAGTACCCAAGCAGGAAGATCTCGACATACAACAGACTTGACCAGCAGTCATCTACAGAAGTGTAAGGTACATTTTCAAGGGTATGTACATACCACAGAACAGCTGTACTATTTCAGTGTAATTGAAAATTTGACTCATATTATGGTCCACAAAAATTATTCTACAGATATTACCCTCCTGTAAATTCCATGGATTATTTGTGAAAAACAAATTGGGTACACAGCATTTTCTATTAAGAATTTATCGTACATAAAGCCATCAGGAGCTTTAGATTAGGTCATGAATCCTATACCACACCTTCATTGTCATACTAGTATTTTATACTGCATATAATGTTAAAAAAGTGAAAGTAACTAAAATTACTAGTTTCTTTATTTTTCTACTAAAACACAAGGTTCCTGGCTTTCCTGACTTAAAAATTCATGTGTAAGGAAAAAATGGTTTATTGAACACATCAACAAAAACTCGTCATCAGTCTATTTTGTTATGTTTTTAACCACTCACTTTTCTATGTTATTGTCCCGATTTAAGATCTCCATGTAATTGTCTTTCAGCCTTAGATAGGTGTAACCAAGTCTGTAAAATGAAACACAGAACAAATGCAACAAATATATAATGATCTAGTTTAAGCATGTCATAAAGATTTAAGACTGAGGCCACAACAAACCAACACCAAAATCCCAAACCATTTTTAGTTGATTTTAGGCTATGAAGATTCATGAATTCATGTTAAGAAACAATCAGCTGTAGATTACTTGGTGTTCGTTATTACGATTTTTGTTCTGGAAACAATTTTGAGCATCAGTGATTAAATCTGTAGTTTAGAAAAATATAGCACCTAAGTACACACATACCTCTGTATTCCTTCAACTAAAGCAACTTCATCAGGTGATGATGATATATATATACAAGATCTTCTCTGTGCCTGGCTTTTCTTCAAACCATCTACGCTGTCATCATCCTTCACCTGAACCGTGTGGCAAAGACAAAGAGCTCGGAAAAATAGTTCCTCTCTCTCCTGAAAAATAAAAGGAATGGTTGTGATTACGTGTTATCGCTTGAAAACTCTTCTTTTGGGAGGTGATCAGTATCACTGATTACTGCTGATTATTAATCAGACAAAGGCAGGCTCCTTGAGGGGGAGCCAGGTCTTTCCTTGTGGTAACCACACATTGTGTTAGATGATGCTGAAGTTGTTTTTTTATTTTTTTTTTCTTAAACCTTAACAACATGTATTAATTAATCTCTAGTCAAGGTATAATTCAGAAGCCCTGAGTCCACACAGAAGGATGCAGTACTTGGAGCACAGGTCTTAGCAGGGCTTACAGATTTTAATCTCTTGAGCAGCTTGAACACCCCTCAAAACTAAATAAATTACTGAAGTGCACATACTTTGGCAGCTCCAGCCAACCACTTCCTATAAAATTTCAGATGGTTTGGTAATGACAGCTCCTGACACCAGAAGGAGATTTTTATTTCATGAATACCTGTCTATGTCGTATCTTTATCTTTGTGTCTGAAACCTATTCTTGTGTGCTGTTAAATACAAACTGTCTGTGCTGTTGTGATTCCAAGATACAAATTCAGCATATCTCGAGACCAGATCCTGAGGGCCATGGGTGAGAGATAAGGCTGCTGAACAACACCAACATATTTGAAGAGACCTCATTTTGTACAGTGAAGGGTATGATATGAAGTGAGTGTGAACAATACAATACAGCACTGATGTAATAAAAAAAATTGTACTTTGGCTGTCATTATCCTGCCCATATAAACTCTTTTCAAACATGAAGCCTCCTGAAATTTCAACTAATTTTGCTTTACACAGCAAACAGCCACATGCTGTAGGTAGCACACTTCTGATGTGGCTAAAATAAGTCATATTTTAAAGTAATTTAATTTGATCATAAACCATTCTGTGGCCACATTTTCACTGAGTGATGACTAAGTGCTTACACTAAGCCCCCATTTTCCCCTTTAGGGATTTTCTTGTCTTGCTTTCCCTGTTGTACCTAAAGTTAAATGGAAACCAGTTATCTGTGTCTGTAGCTATTAACCAGAGAAAGTTCTATATTTGGATTTTAACTCAGCTTTACAACTGCATTAAAATGAGAAACTTCCCATTAAGTCTCTAAATCTTACTCTTAACTAGGAAATGAAAATGTATATGCAGTTATCTACTTTGATTAGTAAAATTCAAGAATGTTGAATTTCTAATACTCCCTTCATCAGTACAGTTCAATTTTCATGTTTCATTGTAAAAAACCAGGAACATAGAGTTATCATACCTTTCCACTACCTCCTGGAGATGAGTCAATCATATCGATTCCTGTACAATCATGAAGGATTTGTCCATTGCAGATAACATGTGGTACATAAACATGCCCTTCAATGCAACATTCTACAAATTCCATATTGTTCTCAGTTAATGTTCCTGTTTTATCTGTGAAGACATACTCAATCTGCCAATGAGAACAAAATAAAAACAGCAGAAACATGAACAGAGATTTTCCAACATCTCTGAACAAAACTGAGTTTATTACTGGGTTACACTTTCCTTTCAAAATCCTTATGCTCTTTCAGAAATGAAGACAACAATTTCTTTTGGCAGTTATCTTCACAGACATACAGGCCCTTAAAGATTTTATCCTACAAGAATATCAAACAATGCTATCTTTTGTCTCATAATGCATGTAAAATGATGTGTTTAACCTACTTCCACTCTTCTCTCTAGGTCCTTCTTAGTATTTAATGTCTTTCTTGCTGTAAGACAGGTATTTATAGAAACAAAATGCATACAAATTTAATTTCCCAGGGATTATTATTTAATGCACATGCCTGGATTTGGATCAGTTACTGTCAGAACAGTTTTTAAGGTAGTATCAGAATTCTCAACTACAATTATGATAGTTTAAATGAGGATTGTGGAGACATACAGTTATATCCATGGGCACTGTAATTGCCCTGGAAACACTCATTTTTTTTCTCAATATTGAATTTTTCATTAACTTCATCTTTTACAATGAGTCCCAGTGCTTAAGTCTAACAACACTAAAAAAAACCCAAAATCTGAATTATTCACTAGAGGACTAGATTGGCTCAATTTTGGATCTTGGACATAGGTATTGTATACACACAACATGTCACATTTGATAAGCTAAGAGAATGAAGTAAGGTAAGGAATTAAACACTGAAAATAAGGCTATTATTTAGAATTAATCAGATTGTTTATCAAACTTCACAATTTATGCAATGCACTGAACAAACTGAAAACCAAATAAATTTTTGGTCAGTCTTCAAAAGCATCATTAATTATGCACACTTTCCACTGAGACCGACTTCTATAATATTTCCTAATCTGAAAAGGCACATGCCAAATTTTCCAGTGACTTTTTATCTGTGGACAAAATACCCACAATTAAACTTTTTTCAGAGAGGATAGGTTTTATTCATTTGAAAAACCTATGAAAACATTTTTAACTGAGATATTAAATATTTTCTCAAAAAAAATTTATCTGTTTCTATCTCAAGGTGATGATTTTCTTAACACAGACAGAATTTATTTTCAAAAATTACACTGGCAATTGATAATGTTAATGGATGAAACTTGTGTCTGGAGATGCAGTGTCAGTCTAATCAGACAAAAAGGGGTTTTTCCATCTAACTTTTAATCTAAGGAAGCTAGATGCTTATAATTGATGGAGAGGAAGTGTTTATCCCTTAATACTATAGTAATGCTAATTTAACTGACCGGGTGAGAAATCAGAATTTTTGAATCTGAAAATAAAAATATCTCAGATTTTATTTTTAAAATTAATCAGCACTAAGGAAAATGCACATGTAGCTGCAAAAAAAACACGAAATAAAACAAAACAAAAAAATCTTGAAGTAACAATTTTAGAATAAAAACCTACAGTAGAAACAGTTGAAAAAATACTATCATTCAATGAAATTTACCTGTCCCAACTCTTCATTGAGGTCTGAAGTGTTCACCAATGGTCCTTCACCTATACCCTCATCGAACATTTCCTCATCCCATGCAATGAAATAAGAACCAAGAAATTTCTGCATTTCCACAGTGACATACATGGATACAGGAATAATGTAGTTGAAAAGAACCATGAATGCAAGGAAGTCTGTAAAAGCTTGAAGAAACTGCCAAAGAAACAAGAAGAAAATATTGATTTTTCACGTACCATTAAAGACTGCAAGATTACTGCAAGTATTTACAATTTCGTTTTTTCAAGTAACTTTTGAACAGAAAGCAACACCTTTCATACTTCACACAGTTCAGCACAGCATGCAAACCTTCATGATTTATAACATCACAAGTGGCATGCAATAGAGCTTTTTCTTTTAAATTTGTTTTTGTTTGTTTACAGATATACAGGTGTAGAATAGTGTTGCAGAGCATTGTACTGTACACAGCATTATTGTGAAGTTCCAGAGCAACTAATGAGCATTAGTGACTGATGCTTTCTCTGAGTGCTTGTAACAAAGCAATATGAAACTAAGCTTTTGAGAGCATTTTTATGGAGATTCCTACAGTGGATTATTCTGAACATGTCTCTTACAGGACTGCCAATAGCTGTGGGATTCCTTCTAGCCCTTGTATTTCTCTGCAAGAGGTCATTTCTTTAGGAATTTATATAAATAACAAGCTGCTCCAAAACACTTTCATGAAGCTTTTTATATTAAACCAGACATTTTCTCATCACTTAAATTCACAAATACAACTTAAGGGCAAAAATGTAACAGACAAGCTTTCTGCAAGTATACTATCTATCATCACAGTCAGCAAAAAAGCATGACTGGTATGTAAGCAGGCTCTATATACTTTTCAGTAGAATCTCTATAAATTAAGGGTTTAAGGAAACTTTGTTGGTATTGTAATTTATTTCCATACCAAATTTCTTTTCTTTTCAGGCTCTGTTTTCTGATTATACCATGGCTCATCACGAAATGGTTCACTCTGCCAGGCATACTTCAGAACAGTATTTATTAGTGCTTTACTGACGAGAATACAGAGGTATACAACAAGAAATACATTCATTGATCTATAGGAAAAAAAAAAGCCAGAATAAGAATTCCATTAGCATCTAAAGTACAGAGTTTATTAGAAAATGTTATACATCAGCCTAATATTTGCTGCAAGTCTAACAATGCTCAGATGTTAAATAACCCTTCCAAAGTGCTTCTCCAATGACGAAAAAAATTACTGACATTCTTTTATATTTTTCTATTATCAAAACCAATATATTAGTGAAAACAATAGCACAGATAGACTCACAACAGAATAACTGGGCTTGTATCTGCAGACCTTTTCATTCCACTTTGCTGAATCATTTTAAGATCACTCACCTAAGTACTTTTATAGAAATATAAAACCAAAAAAGAACATTTTGCTACGTAGCTGTAATGTTTTAACTCTAGGCAGATCTAAAAAAAGAGCAAGAACATTTTGCATTTAAAATTATATTTTCATTAATGATGGGCATGAACTAAAAGCCATGGGTTATAAATCAATAACAATAGAAGAGACACATCATCATTGCTCAGTCACTATGTAAGAGAGAGGCTGTCAGCTGGTCAGAACATCTTGCCTCAATCAATGACATCTTGTTTTTCACAAGGCTGGACACCTTACACACAGCTGATGATTTCAGATAGCAGAGTAGGAATAGAAAATAATCTCTATTTTAAAAATAGTAAGCAACCAATGTCAGTTCGCTCCTTAAGGATAACATTGCCTTACTATCACATGTCTGGACAGAACTTGTTAATTTTAGCTAAACAATGGAAAACATGCCACAGACAAGCACTGTTACTGCCACTGATCCAAAGTGAAGTGATAACATCAAAAAAGTTATTTTTACTGAATTCAAGACTTACTTGCAATGAAAAACATTGAATGCTAGGATAATAAAAACCACAATCTTGGAAAACTGTCAATAAATATATTCTAAACACTGAAAGAAAGTCTTATGACAAAACATCGTAGCTTAACGAGCTAAGCATTAAATCAAAATGGCTTTATTTTTTTAAACATCTAACAAGAATAATTCAGTATTGAGAACCTCATTTATATGGTGTTACATGACTTGCATTATAAGTATAAAATTATTTAAAAAGAACCAAATTTAAAGTCCCTCTACCTCTTTTTTCATTTAAATCAATGACACATATACTTTCAGAGAAAAAAAAAATTCTGATTTGCACCATTAGAGCATGCAGGTTTCAAACCCCAAAATAAGAATTAGAAATCATACTTCTCTACAGCAGATCGCTTCTGTGATTTTGATTGGTAATTTAATGCCATCTTAGTTTCCATGCCAGTGTAGATAGCAACACCTGAAATTAGACAACTTGTTTTATTAAAAATTGCACAGTGCAGTAACTTCAAAAGAGCACAATTCATTAGATTATTATCTCTGTAATTTCTTTAATTCTTTAGTCTGAAAAAAGAAACCACAGATTTGGATGATAACCCAAAATTAGAAATGGCTTTATTATCTTGGTACTTAGAAATTTTAAGCAGCATTTACATCCCATTCCAGTCACAGTTTCCAATTGCTAAAGTGCTTGTATGTAACAACACTAAACCTTATAATAAAGTTGTAAAACAAGTTACCCAGTAGAAATCATAAGCCCAGGCTTACTATACGTTTGTAACCTTGTTTGGTGTTTGCTTATTACTTCAGGGTCCATTAAAGTAGTCAATAGAAATATTTACCAAAGATTTTTTCTGTGTTCTTTAAAGTGGCTCCTCTAAGAAGCAGATTTTCAGATCCTAATGGCCTGCAAAAGATAAGTATTAGAAAATGTAAACGTTTAGAGAAAACCATCAGTCCTTAGTGGAAGTCACACAAACCAGGAAATTAGATTTACTAAAAAAACTTTTATTTTAACAAATTACAAGGCATATTTAAAATTTTAATGTGAAAATTAAAAATAGATAAACAGATGCCTAAAATTAAGGTCACAATTTCAAAATTCAAGTCTTAAACCAATGCACCTAAACCCAAATAAACAGTCAAGATCCTAATTATACAGTACTCATTTTCAAAAATATTAATTCTATTAGTTTTTAGACTTATATAAACTATGTTTATTACTGTTTGTTATTTCTATTTAAGGACAATACATGCCTCCATTTTATTTTAAGTATAAATGGCATACAAGGTATTTTTGATACTTGCTGTAAACATTTTTTAAAATGCCAATAAATACAGCTAAAATAATTTATTGAAGAGTACAGGAATTTATGTAAGGACCTCAATGAAATTTAAATAATATTTTGGAACACAATACATACACTAATCAACATAAAAGTTCAAAACCTAGGACTACTTTACAGACAGATCACATGCAGAATTCAGATTCTATCTATACAGCAATAAAAAAAAACAAACCAAGAAGTACAATTATAAGTTCAATATTTCCAAAGGTTATTCAAAGTGCACTTGTGGTATGAAACTACCAAAAAATTAAGAAAATACAAAGAAAGGGCCACAATTCTGATGTAAAACTTGAAATTAGTTTCAAGAAACTAGTGGAACAATGTTACATGAACAACCCAGACCAATGGACAGTTTCCACAGCAGACTGTGACAGAAAACAAGGTATCTACAGACACACTGAGGTTAGGAAGGCACTTAGCCAGCACTCAGTAACTCCCCACATGCTGGGATCTAGGGTATCACTCCAGCAAGCAGCTTTTCCCTCCTATTGCTTTGCCTCTTAGTGGCAAGAATCAGAACAGTTGCATGTTGCCTTTCTTGAAGACACAGCACTATGGAAGTTTTAGACAGAGGTACAAACCCACTTAGAAAAGTTAAACACAAAAAAACTACCTGACATGTTCAAACCCTTCAAATCTAAGAAAAATGAAATATTTAAGTGATACTATTTATATTGTTTAGTGCACTACCAAGATCTTATGCTAATGGGGCAGTATTGTACAAGTGCTGTCAAGATCATATCAACATCATTTACAAACTAAATGAATTTCAGATGAAAGTGAAGTTTGTATCAAGACATTAAAATACTAAATAAGATAAATATGATTAGAAGATGAAATATCAATTATTTATGAAATAGCAGCCTGGAATCTTCTAAGAGAAAAATATTCTATCACTAAATCAAAGCAGCACCATGTGAAAAAAGGGTAATTCTCATTATTGATACTTATTCAACTGTGAAATATTTGAATGTGTAGAAACTCTGGATTTCCCCACCTTGCAATAGGCTCATTCCTATCATGGTAAACATTTATTCGACCAACAAATCTGAAAGGAAAATATACAAGTAGTTTAACAGTACTGCTAATAGAGTATTTAAGAAATATTTTCTAGAAAGTATGTATCACAGAGAACATTTTCCAACTGAACAGGCTCCAGTTATCCAGAACAGGAACATAAGAGATACATATATATATATACACACACTTAAAATATGTAAATACAAAAATACACAGAATGGTAACTTGACATAAATTTTGCATATAAGGAGGTGTAAGAGATTATAAAATTAGGGATAAATATTCTAAGGAGACCCATGAACAAGAAATAAAAAGTGTTACTCCCTAAACTACCCGAGACAAGTCAGTGCAATTACTATCTTTTACAACATCTAAAGCCTACAACTAAATTAAAACCAAAGCAAACACGAAAGCATGGAGCTAGTAAGTAATTCTTTCTCTCAATATCTGTCAGTGCATTTTATCTGTATGTGGTGGCTTGGCCCTGGATTGCAGCTAAGCACCCATCAGCCTCCCACTCCTTCCCTCCCCAGCAGGATAGGGAAGAGAATTGAAAGAGCAAAAGCAAGATTTTGACATTTGAGTAAGTGAAGGGAAAACCAAGTGACACAAAGGCAACCACTCACCACCCCCTATGAGCCTGCCGATGCCCAGCCAGTCTCCAAGCAACAGCTGCTTTGGAAGACTGCCCCCTGCTCCCTGGTTTTATTGTTGAGCATGACGCTATATGGCACAGATCTCTCTGGTCAACTGAGGTCAGCCATCCTGGCTGTGTCCATCCCCAGCCTCCTAGCCACTCCCAGCCCATTTGATGGAGGACCAAAATGAGGAACAAAGTTTGACATTGTGCAAAAATTTTGCACCAATAGGTAAAACCATGGTGTGCAATTAACAGTGTTTTAGTCTCAGAGCAACAACACTACACCGGCTGCTATGAAGAGAACTGACTTCATTCCAGCCAGACTTGGTACACTGCATTTGCCATACCACAGTCCAAGTGGATAACCTAATGCAAAGAGGATTAAGCTGGACATTAGGGTTCTCAAGGGTAGAAGAAACTGGGGAGCTGGTGGGCCTGTTACTAGCTCTGAAGCTCAGAGGAGTGGTAACCTGTCTGCTTAAAGAACATGCAACATGGTAGGGCCACATCTGAAGACAGTAATGTACAGTTGGTTATGATGCATTATGATATAAAATAACCACACGCCTTTGGAAGAAAAGATTTACTGCTGTGTTTTGTTGAGAGGTAAAGTTTCAAGTAGACATCAGCAGAGATACAAGCTGACTACCAATAAACATTTTCATAATTTGTGTCAACAGGTGTCCCAAAGAATTTCACCATCTGTAATAGCATGAGTTTCAACTTGCAGTCATTCACTTTGAGACCCAAGTATTTAAAAAAAGGGTCAAGCAAGTGATGGACTTGATGCTCTACAGAACCTGTTCTCAAGCAGAGTTCTAAACCAGCTTCTTAATCACCAAGATCACAGAAAGCACATACCTTCAATACCTCAGAAATAAGCAAAAAAAGCTTTTTCTGCATCTTCCAACAGTATTTGCTGTCAAAAGAGTGCATTTCAGCTTGACATCATACTGTTTTCTGTATATTATTTCAGCTACTTTTTACTGTGGCAGAAAAAAACAAGTGTTCTCTCAATGGTATAGGACTTTCTGTATTACTATTAAGAAAGAAAACTCAAAAGAGGCTTCTCAAGATTTCTCATTAGGTTTAGTGGAATTGTGTACAGTTCTTTTGTTAAATATTGAGTATTGTATGACTTTATACAACTGTAGACATTTTTCTTCATGTTCTGCATTAAAGTGTTTTCCTAATCATGATGGTTTCATGCTGTCATTAGCCAGTATTTCAAAGCCTATGGTGTGAGGCTCATGGTTATCAACAGCAGATGAAAATCTGTGTTTCAAATAGTCTTGACAATTTAAATTTAGATCTGATTAGATTAACAGTGGCTTTACTTTGTTATGTGACTGATGAAGATCTCTACCAGGCCTAGAAGTGCTTGCCATTTACTTACTGTTCATTTGTGCTAGCATGTTACTATTATCTTCAATCTGCAATATCTTTGCAGGAGTCTTTTTAGGCCACTTCAGCATTTTGTGAGTGTTATTTTAGTTAAAACTAGATAACATAATCTGTACATTTAACTAGGTACACATAAATGACCACACTTTGCAATACACTGAAAGCAAAGGAGTGAGTGCCACAGGCAACATCTCCATATTGTGGAACACCCTCTTCCTCTAGAGAACCTCACAAACTGGATGTGACGTACAGAGAGGTGTGGGTGCCAATATCAAGAAGTGTACTAAGTACTAGTAAAGCTTAATTTCTTTCTTATTTTTGTATTAAAAAAAAAAAAAGAAACTGGAGGTCTAAAATTTTCACCACATTCCTCAGAGGACTGCTTCATGCCATCCCGCTTTGGAAATCACTACCCCAGAGCACACCTAGGGAGCTACCTGCACAAAAGGAGTATGGATGGAAGACCTACCTGACTTCAAGCTCACTCTAACCAGAGAGATGCAGCCTGTATCTTTACTTTATGATATTTTTACGACTTATTGCTCAGATACCCTAAATGAAACAGGTAAGAATTACTGTCTTACTTATAAAGGTCAGGCTGAGGTTGTTCACATTCAATGGTAGCATGCAGTGCATCGATTTCTTGTTCATTGTGAAATGCCTTTGTGTCTTGAACAGCATAGTAAGTCTGGAATTAATAAAAACATGTAAATAAAATAAAAAACAGATATACATGACATTAATCTGTACATACACTGCAGTTCAGCATAAAATTTACTAACTTCTATGTGAGAGCTCATAATTCAAATAAGAAGCATCTCTGAAGGCTCCTATTTGGGCATCTTCTTACATGGTCTTTTCCAACCATTTTTTTAATGATTCTACAGTGATGTGCAAGTACCTTGCAGTGTATTTATAGATCAGGTCACAATGAAAACATTTAAGTACAAAAAGTTAGTGTATTACCACTGTAATCTGCATGCCTTTACTGGACACAGACAAAATCACAAAAAACATCTTCAAACTTCTCATAAAATAGTATTACTTTTAGAGAAATTAAGTCAGATGGTAGAAAGATAAATTACACAAAGGTACATTAGTGTACCTGCTTACATATAAGCATGAAGTCATATTGTGATCTGTGTCAAAAACTAATAGCAAACTTGGCCTTAAAAAGGAAATGTAGAACATTTAATTACTTTGTGACTGGATTCACCATCCAAACCAGTTGTTGTAACGAAACATGTCCCATCTCCTCTACTACTTGATAGGAATATTAAATCACATGGGAATTTTTCATCTTCTTTTACCATTACAATATCTCCAACCTAAGGAAAAAACACAAGAAAATAAAATGCATGTATGTAGCAGCCCATATTTCAGAATTCAAAATTAAAACCTAGATTAACACAAATATTTTGAAAATTCAACAGCTTTTATTTACACTAGGATTTTACCACAAGAGTAAAGAACAACAGAGATATCTCTGGAAAACTGAATCATACCTTGTAGAATGACTGAGATCTACTGTTTCTGGCTTTCCTCTACAGGAAACCACCAGAAAGTACTGTCTTAGTTTTGCAACATTATTTGAGAGATGGAAGATATTATCCTTCAGAATAAATACAACAAAACTGTTTCAAAACCACCAAGAGATGTAAGCTGCTCTTAAACACAGCTGAAAAAGCCAATAATTTCATCTGCTGATGAAAACAGGATACATTTTTAGCGGAATTTTTGACTAGAAGTCCACCCCATTTTTATCTGTGTTTAAAGGTGAGCAAAATAATTTTAATTCATGGTAACATAGGCAATATTTCACAGCACATTAAAATGTTGCAACAGAACAGCCAACCAATTACAAATTCAAAATATTCTTGTAAATCATTCAAGAAGAATGTTTTCCCACATTTTTAGAGGTTAAACAAGTGGCAAAGGCATACTCCATGTTCTAAGGATATCAGGGTTTTAATAAAAAAAAAATTTTTTCAAAAATATGTAATATTTGCTATTTTTCATGTAAGTCAACATCTGTTCAATATACTTTTACACCATAATTTATTACAAGACTTAGCTTAATCATTGTTCTTGTTATATGCTTATAAAGCTAAATCCCACTATCCTTAGCAGTTGGCAGGAGTCACATAATTCCAGTTAAGTGAAGCAGTCTGATAAAAATCAGGAATAGTAACATCTAAAAATAAAATTTTAGAATGATTATAAAAAATGAGATTTATCTAACTGCATATATGAGAAAGGCTTTTTTTTTTTCAGAACCAATAGCTATGAAAAATTGCAGATTGTACACACATCACAGGAGAACACAAACTCTAAGCATACCTGCAACAATCAGGTAAGAAATTCTCATTTTCCTCAACTCAAACCAAATAAAAATACTAACACATAGCATCTTCATAGAATTTAAAAGGTGTTCCAGCATTTGCTGCTGTGTCAGCTAAGAATGCAAAGAGAACAGGGATGGGTTCTTTCTGGTGGAAAGTGACAGGACCTGAGGCAAAGGGCACAGCCTGGAATATGGGAGGGTTCACCTAATTTTCATTGCGCTGGTGATTGAGCACTGGAACAGTTGCCCGAGAGAGGTAGTGTAGTCTCCATCCTTGGAGAGACTTAAAACTGTCTAGATAGGGTCCTGAGCAAACAGCTCCTGGTTGTCCTGCTGCAGCTGGGGGATGGATGAGAAAATCTTCAGAGACGCCTGCAAACCTCAGCTGTTGTTGAGCTTGTGTGATTGTGTGAAATAGAACTCAGGGTTTCTTTTTTTCCTTCTTTAATCAAGTGTCCTGAGGCTTTAGGTGCAGAGGGGTCTACTTTAGGTCTACAACCTAATCTATTTTCTCATGTTATATAGATCTGAGAATTTCACCGATTTACAAATACACATAGATATCCCTTCCTATGCAAGTATTTTCAAAGTCTGTCTCTCCTATCATATAATCACTCAATAACACCCTCTGAAAGGCAATAAGCAGGGGAGAAATTAAGAAAATACGATTAACAGATTAACCATTAAAATTCAAAATCCAGTTGCATGATACTTGACTATTTTTGTTTGGAATATTTAACTGGATAGTTAACACACCTGGAATTCTCAAGCATGTGATGTCCTGATTTTTATTACCAGGAAGCCCTAGGCAGAAGCTATCCCACTCAAATGGAAGGTCACAGCAGAAAGGCTGTGAACACTGTTGATACACTTATGCCCAAAAACAGCACAGCACAAAAAGACATCCAAACAAACAAAAATAAGAAAATTCCAAACAAATATCTATCAAATTTTATGAATTCTAAAGAAAATAACGTGAAGAAGTTCATCTGCTTACAAAAAAACCCCACAAATCAAGCAGCAAAAACTAATTTCTGAAAATATACTGAAAAGAGAATGTAGCAGCATTCACAAGGTCAATGAAGAAATTGTGATTTGATGGGTTTTGAGAAAATATTTAGAATGTGTTGTGTCTGTATGTACGCATGTATCTCTATACATAGCACTGATTGTAACAATCAGCCTTAATTAAATTATAATGTGCATAATAATAATTATACCCCATCCCAGAGAGTGTTGAAGGCCAGGTTAAATAACGCTCTGAACAATCTGGTGTAGTGCAAGGTATCTCTGCCCACGGCACAGGGTTTGGAACTAGATGATCTTTAAGCTTCCTATCAACCCAAAGTGTCCTATAATTCAGTGATAATCACAGTGGACAGGAAATAGAGAAAAGATAAATTATGACAGAAATTCCAAGTTAAAAATGGAAAATGCAAGTAACATTAACAGGAGGAGTTAGTTAATTCCGGTTAAGCAAAACAGCCTGATAAAATCAGCACTAGTAACATTAAAAATAATTAAAATTTTAGAATGATGATAATAAATGAGGTTTATCTAATCTCATTAGATAGTTTAACTAATTACAAGATCAATTTTATAAAAATATTTTATTCAGAGGCATAAAACTAAAAATTATGTGCATACTGTAGGTCTAATCATTAAATGAAATAAATGCTACATCATCATCCTACATTTCTGTATAACTTGTTTTATGTGTGAAGTGTACAAGAAGGGTGAAAAAGTCTGACTTACAAAACCTGTTAAGTCATAGTTACTTACTCTTAATTTTCGGCTTTGCTTCCTAACCAGTTTACCGTGCTGAATGAAATGAACAGGGCAATGATTTATTGCATTGTCAGCTTTATGTCGGAGCCAATCTTCATAACCCTAGAAAACAGTGAAATGGAATGATGCAGTGATGCACATTTGACTATAAAGACACAGAATAGCTCTAGCTTTTAAGAAAAATTTTAAGAATTATCCTTCATCACTTTAAGGGAAAAAGTATTCTCACTAGAACAGATGAAATTGTGGTATGTGTCAGTACTAGAGTTATGCTGGATATCTATGAAAAAACAAAACCATCTTTTAATGAAGACATTTGGATGAACAAGCATTTTGAAAGTGTAGAACAGTTTCTGGTATCTCTTGCTCATGCTCTATTGACTCGAGTAAGTGCACAGTATTTGTAAAAGCAGACAAGGAGGTAGTAGTGTAGGCAATATATTTTGGAAGAATGGGACTTTATCCTGCAAGTTGATAAAGCGATGACATGACAAAAGGTTGTCGTATTTGATGACTGCCATACAACTAAGCCAAACCTTTTAATTCTATATACAATATATAGTTGTGAAGAATTTTATTTCAAGAAACTTTACAGAGTACCCTATTTTTAGTGCTCACTTACCCTATGAATTTGTGTTTTATACAAGCAGACAAACTAAAGGATAGGGAATCTTCAACTTTCTATTGAAAAAGTCCTCCCATATGGCAAAGATTGGGACTGACAAAGTCATCAGTGCTTAAGAGACTGAAAATACCACTGTGTAGTCCATAGCATTCTTAGGTCTAACTCTCTTGAGCACATTTGAAAATTCAATGCAGAACAAAAGCATCACTACCTTGGATGCTCTGAAAAATAATCTGGGAACCCACTGAGACTTTAAAACCTTAGTGTAGTATTTTCCCAGGGGTTGGTACAGCTCCTCAAGAAGGTCTCAAAATCTACAAAAGTTGCTGGTAAGAAAAATCAAGGAAATACATAGAACTGCAGTACCAGGCACAGCATTCATAACCCAGGCTTTGATAGGTCACTACTAACAGTAAGACTTTAAAGTGTAACATTTTAAAATCTTAAAAGTGGGAAAGCCACACTAAAATACTAGCTCTTGCATATATCACAACTTCCGCTCAACAAGAAGTTCTGAATTTAACTACAGAAAATACTCAATTATGAATAGTTACCACTGTAAAGAAACACAACTCTCCATAGCTTCTTGGAGACTCATGAAGGAAAAGTCTGCATTTAGCATAAAGACTATGAAGGTAGTAAGTTATATCTTTTATGTATTAATCTATTAATGGACAACTGAAATCTTCCTCTGTTTTGGGTCTATGTGGGACGATTTAACTTTCTTCACAGCAGTCCTGTGCTGCTGTGCTTTGTACTTGGGGCTAAACCAGTCTTGGTTACACCCCAGTGTTTTGGTACTTCTGAAGTGTCAGCATCAAGGCTTGCTCTTCAACCTTCTCCCACGGCAGACCAGCAGGCTGGGGGTGGGCAAGAGCCTGGGAGAGGACATTGCTTGGACAGCAGAACAAACTGACCCAACTCTCTCTTTAGTTTTACTTTTGTTCACAACATTACTCACCTGTTTGATAGCTGTGACAGTGATGACAAACAAAAGTGGAAGTCCACTTGTAACTGGACTAGTAGGTGTATCAATAATTAACTGCAACAAAAAGAACAAATATTTTCTAGTTACCTTTTTGTGAATGTAAGCAGTCAATCCTTCAAGCAAGATCTCCCAAGTTATTTCATCAATATGTTACAGGGCATATCAAGGGATTTTATTTGAAAAAAACAGTACTTCAACAGAACTTTAAGAATGTGTACTAACTACACAGACAAAAATTTGAAAACTGGATTCCAAAAGAAGATACAATTCTGTAGTTAGATCACGTTAACATAAGATGTTAATGCCTCATAAAAATATTTGTTTGCAAGACCTTAAGGTAGTATTAGACTGGAAAGCTGCAGCTTTGGAAGCAGAATTATGGAGCACCATTAGAAATTAGCATGGCACTGGCTTTACATGTTATACAATAAAGCTGTTCTTAGGCATGCAAAGAGTAAATTTTGAAATAACGAGCTGGAGCTTCTGCAAATATAAACAGAGGCAGAATTCAAAGAGGGAGTACAAATGACAAAATATAAGTAGTCCTGGGAATCTGCACTGCTTTTTTTCTACAGAATCTGGTCTGCAAAGCAATACAGCTTTTCACTTAGTAAAATTTTTTATTATTTAACACAATAAGTGACTATGACAGGTCAATCAAGATCTATCTAGATATCAAGATACCTAGAAAGCAGTGCACTAGGTATTCATGGGACTAATTTCAAAAACAAGTATTTTTGTACCTCTGTAAGCAAGCATCATATCAATACCTATTATTTCAGTTCTCATAGGCTCTGATCACAGTACTGTTGAAAAACTGCTATTGAGACATTTTTTTGTTATAAATTAAATTATTTTTGCAAAATAAATAAAACTGTGTCATCAACAGAATTTATGGGAACAGTTTTACTGATCTGGATGTTTATTACAAATTAAAAATTACAGACATTCTTTTCATTTTTTTCAAGACATGTCTTGCCATCCAACTAGTGATCCTGTCAAATTCTCTTCGGATTAAATTCACATTGACAACCCAGAAATTAAATAAAACCCCTTTTTTCACACCATCAGTGTAAAACTATTTACCTCCATGGTCATCAAAATCAGTTAATTTTAAAACCTTTTTCAGTTTCTCCCTATTTTAGAAAGAGCACAGAACTTACTAGAAAATGGGGATAGCTTACCTGAACAAGGAAAATGATGAGAAAATAGAAGTTAGCTATTCTTCTGAATTGCTCAAACAAATTTTTTGGTATAAAGTTCCAAAACGTGTACTGAAAACAAATGAACATATTATGAGTGGTTGTGAAGGAAATATTATTCGCATTCAATTTTATAACTCACTATTTCAAGACTACAACAAGAAGCAAGAACAAGATTACAACAAGAAGAAGCAGGAGTGTTTTCTTTACTTAGTTTAATAATTTACTGAATTTGAATCTCAATTGACAATCACATATTATCAGAATAGTACAGTTTTTCTGAACTGTGATAATCTTTGGACTAGGGATTGTAATAACTTTTAACTAGCAACAATACTTGTCCAGAGTTAGTTAGTTATGGAATGGTTTATTTAATGGATTTTAAAGGCACCTGAGTGATTTCAAAGAGCAGTTATAATTCACTTTTATGTTATATTCATGACTTGAGATAGATGGCACTCAGAGTTAACTACACAGTAATAGGAAAACAACCAAATAAAAGCTGTCAGCTTCTCTTTTGTTCCTCGGCAAGGACACAAAAATACTCTTCAAGATAAACCACAGTGGTGAATAAGAGTAAGTGGCTGCATATTTCTGTACTGATCTTACAAATTGCCACAAGTGCTGTAAAATGACATAAGAAACAATATATAAAGCTGCAAACAGAAAATGTAAAATCTTCAAATATACAAAGTCATGTAAAAGTGGAAAAGGAGCTTAACATCATCTACTCCCCATCCCCTGCCCTGCAGTAGGTTCAACTACAGCCATTTTACACAGCTCACTCTGTAGCTCCAGAAAAACATTGCAAGGATTGCTTATTGGAACACATGTAAAAAACGTCAGCTAAAACTCTGTGAAAAGGTTTGAAAAATGGCTTGAGAAAACTAGCACTGCATCATCTTATTATCCAAATTATCCTTTGACACACAATAAAATGACAACTCCAATAAAACTTTCATTTCAAACGAGATGGGCTAAGAAGCTTATCCTAATTTACTTGCTCTGTTACAAATGTGCCTTGTCTCCTCTTGGCAGATTGCACTTATACTTGCTGATAACCGAATTATTCCATGAGCTAGACATCTTCTGAATTTTGCCCTGAAGGCAAACACAGAGCTCCAAAAGGAAAGTACTTCTATTATATCTAAAGACAAAAAGTATCCATAAGAAATATGTTTTAAATGTATAAGAAACCTCATTATATAGAGCAATCTTTTTACCTTATAGGAATTAAAGCCTAAACATGTGTAAGACATAGGAATGAAATGTTCTTCTATCGTGTCCCAAAAATCGGTATCTATCCTAAATATGCCCTAAGTTACCACTTAATCCTGCATAATAGCTACTTCAGCATTAAATCACCTGTGAGCAAACCAAAACTCAGGCAGGCAGACATGCAAACAGTTAGAAAAGCAAGTGTTCTAGTCTTGCAATCAGAACACTTTTCATCAGGCAGGAATGCAGTTTGCACTACCCACTATCCAGCTACGTGGAATTTTCAAAGAGAACAAGTTAGACTTGATTATTTTTCCTTGCAAAACAATGCTGATCATTCAAAACTGCTATTATGATAGAGACCGTATGGATTCTATTAAATGCCAATAATTGCATATTTTCATCACTATCAGGTAAGTTACCTTTGTTTTCTAACTATCCATTTATTTTTTAAGAATCTCTACCTGCTGGGATAGAAAAATGAAAAGCATTTGTTTCCATTTTCCTGCTTCGATTTTTTGATAGAAATACTATTTTTCCCATGGTAAAGGGTCATCTTTAAAAGTTTGATGATTAACACAAGCCCCTCAAACCACCATTCATTAAATAAAAATGTAATCTCTTATGTAGTAATTTCCACTTTGTATCTCCTACAGGGTTATCTGACTAAACGTCTGGTAATAGCATTTTACTGTTGGACTAGATATTTAAAATATCTGACTGAGCAAGCAAGTAAATCAATTAAAACAACAATCTTTGAAAAGGTTGTTCACCTTTACACTTAGTATCCAATCCTTATATTCTAACCTTAGCTCACTGCTTTCCCTGCCAAGATGTGGTCTACCACAGCTCCACCTTTAATCAGCAGCCCTCTTAGGTGAATAAAAGTGAGTAAGATGGGAACAAATCACTTTTATGGTTGAGAAGTGCTTCCTAAAATGGATGCTTCTTTAACACTTCTTAAGATTTTATTTTCAATCTGACAAATTTTTAGCACTTTATGACTCTGGGTTTTAGGGATACTAAGTATGTCTTTATTCTGCCCATTCATCTTGAACAGAGCAGTAATGATTTTTGCAGTTTAGGCAAGAAAGCACACTAAGATATCTAGACAGACCTTCCCTTACCCAAGCCATTAGTAGCTCAGAGCAGTATCTACAAACGGACAAGTAATGCTTCATCAACATAATCACTCCCCAGAGAAGCAACAGAGGGGCTGACACTCAGAACAAGATTTATCCCATGACTGCTGCATTCAAAGTAGTTTCTCTACCCTAGTTAGGCAGGAACAAACCAAAAATTTTTAAAGGCAAGTCATTAAAACCAATGATATTAAATCCATCGGATTACTCTGCTGAGAGTTAATATCATCTCTCTTCTTCAGATAATTTCTAGTCATGCTCTTTGTAAACCCTTGAAAAGTAGTTTATGTGTATTTAATTACCTTTTTATTTAATATAATTCACTTGAAGGATATAAGTTTATCTAAACAGTTACACACTATTTAAGTGTAATTAAAAAGTTAAAATTAATTAAAAATTAAAGCTTATTTAAGCTTTCAAGTTGGAGATAACTTAATTGATCTTTTCCAAATGCTACAAAAGACCTAGAGGCCAGAGCACACGGGTGCTTTTTGCACAGGGGAAGCAACACATCAGACACCAAGCAGTAGTAGTTATGCATGCAGCCAAAAGAAGAACACACGGTGCCAACAGATGCATCTGAAGCACCGTGCAAGAGTCTGTAAGATTAATCTGGTGTCAAAACAGCATCATTCAAGTAGATTTTCTTCCCATTTATAATTGCAGTAGCACCTGCAGTGCTGGCATATTCCTGCCTATGCCCCTGGTTTCATCTTGCTCTTTACTGATACCGTCTTGCTTTCAGCTACAACACCTCTTTGTCAGAGCCAGTAACACTAATTCAAAAATGTAAAATACAGTGCTTCTTCACACCGTATTTTGACCTTTTCATCTGGCATCTGCATGCCAGAATTTTGGCTCACGTTTCAAGCTTCTCTTTCCACACTAAGAGGCAGATATTTTCTTAAAAAAAAAAGGTAGCGTTTCTTAAGTAATCACTTTACATCAAAAGCTGAAGCTGTATGAAAAAGCACTTCATACTGAATTTTGTCAACACCTCAGTTTCTTAGAGATTATTTGTTTTAAATAGTCACCACCTCTCTTCTAACACACCCTGATTTCACTCTTTTCACTCAACCTTTTTTACTGTTTCTTGTAAATGTTTTAAACTATTATAACAAAAAAATCTACTATATTGGTTTAGCCCTGGTTCATAGACATCTTCCTATGATGATTTTCATCCTTTCTGCATAAAAAAAAAAAAAATCCATCCTGAGGATAATAAAATCAGGATAGTATAGAGAAAAGCTTATCTTTCAGTCATTTGTGTCCTATTGCATTACAGAGGCTAGCTGCAACCGTGACAGTGTCCATGGTGACTTCAATAATTTTAATGTACACATTTTTGTATCAATTACCAAGAAACAATGTATTCTTAAAGCTGTAGTTTAAAAACTAGACTGCAGGCATGTGTGCATATCATAGAACACCGTTTGGGTAGAAAAGGATGTTCGGAATCTTCTCAAGCATCTAGTGTCAACCTCCCTGCCATGGGCAGGGACACCTTCCACTTAACCAAGTTGTTCCAAGTCCCACCCAAACCAACCTTGAATGCTTCTAGAGATGCAGAATCTACATCATCTCTGGATAGCCTGTACCAGTGCCTCACCATCCTCAATGCAAATCTGAACCAATCCTCTTTCAGCTTCAAGCTTTCTCCCTTGTCCTTTCACTTAATGCCCTTGTAAAAACTTCCTCTCCAGCTTTTTTTGTAGTCTCCTTTTAGGCACTTTTAGGACATAACATTTTCTATATAACACCAGCTTACATAGCATTATCTGATCAAAAGTTTCACTGTTTCTTTAAAGGCAGTTTTAGTTAAAAAAATATTACTTCTTTGAAACACCGTTTGTCTATCAATACAGAGAACTGGTAGAGAAAACTATAGCAGAAAGTATATAAAAAAACAGGAAATCAATAATTATCTGAAACCATAAGAAGTGAGTTGAGAGTATGCCTTGTCTAACTCAAGTGTCAACTTATACACATATAGGAAGTCTGTAGCAGAACTCATCTATATTCTTTAATGTATTAAACTAATATCAAGACTCTGACTCAAAGCAAAAAAATTCAGACTTCTGTGCTTATATGCTACCCAACAGAACTGTAGTATTTTGAAAAGTGTTGTGTCATATTTATGACAATTTGGAATGAATGTAGAAAGACACAATATTTTAACAAAAGTATTAACATACGCACAATCTGCACTGTGTTTATCACTCCACTGAGGGAGGAACTCCTGTTTCCCCACATCACAAGGTCATTCACAACACAGGGATCAGTGAAAGCTCTGCTACATTTAGGGATTTTACAAACAAATAACCATCACTATAGGTTCAGAGAAAGTGAAAAAATTAAACTGATTTGGGGAAGTTAGATCAAATGGTACACTTGATGAACAAACATACATATTTTGGCATAAGATTTCTTAAAAAGAGTCGGTGATAAAACAGGACTTCTATTACAAACAAGTCTATCTTTAGTAGTCCCTGTTCAGCAACTCTCAGTTTTATTATATAGATGCTATTAAACTCCAGGAGCTCCTCTGACAAAGAAATCCCCCAGCATCTGTAATTATGTAATTATAGTTTTCAAAAAGAAAAAAAACCAAAACCTTACAGCAAGGATGACTGACTGAAGACAGAAGTCACAGAGAATGCTAGGAAAACAGAAGAAAGAATATGTGCAAACAAGCAAGCTTCACTTTCTCAC